AATGTGTTAGAATGTGGAGTAATCTTTCACGTATCGGTCCACAGATGGCTTCCAGTTCGATTCCGGGGGCTGTCAATCAAGAGCAGGTCCCACATGGTTTATTTGGGAAGTGGCATGGGGCATGGGGCATGTGGCAAGTGGCAAGAGGCAGAGTAGTCCTGTTAGGGGGTCCTGAAAGTAAAACTCTTTTTGGCTAACCAATTCTTTGCATTTAATTTCGTTTATTCATTCGAATGACCACAAAATGACATTTGCATTTGGGCCGTGGTCGAAAGGAAAAACTCCGTATCCGTATCCTGCTCCTCATCCGACTCCATGTCCAAGACTCTGGCCTCCGGGGAAATGGGCCGACAGCTCGTTTTATACCTGGTACTTCTAGGGGTTAAGGGTATGTTGGTTTTGGGGTTAGGAAGAGATGTGTTTTATAATATATGGTATTATACGATTTATATTACTTCTTCGTTATGATCTTAGAATATATAAAATATAGTGTTTGATTTTTGTATTTCCTTTATAGGATTTTGTAGAAACTCTAAAGAAAAGCCTCTTTAATTCCTTTAAATTTATTTATTTGAGAGTTAAACCCTTTTAGTCTTGTCCGTTTTTTCGCTTAGATCAGAGAACCAATAAGATATAGGGTGATATATTATAATTCTTATATAGAATTGATTCTATTCTTTAGACTTGATTAATCCCAATATATTATATATTTATGTAAGTCAAACAGGTACAAGATAATGTAGCATCTTTATCTCTATAAAGCATCTAGATAGAGCGTTCTAGACCCAACTATCCTTGTCCGTGTGTCCGTCTGTCCGCTTGTTTAAATAAAATCCTAAATCTCAGAGGTCATCAGATATAGAATCCTCACTTTTAAGATACTAGATCTTCCATCATCCCATCGTATAAAAATTTAAAATAAAATCCCCCTGTACCGGGTATCATACAGTCTTGACCAAATCCTACAACCATCCCTTCAAAATCCAACTCCAATGGTAGAGGGTGGTAGAGGGCTTTATAGGACTGGAATGGGATGTCTCCAGGGCCGGACAAATGAATGGCACATTTGCAAAAATTTGTTTTGACATCTGAAGATGCCTTCTCTTAGCAGCAAACGGAGTGCAAAAAATGTATAAAACACAAAAGTGCGAAAACTATCAAATGTGTTCATTTTCCATAAGTTTGAGTGTTTCAATGTGTGTGTGTGTCTTGGTATTTGTATGTGTGTGTAATTAATTCTACGCTGAGTCGGCCAAAAATTTCAAAAAATAAGAAAAAAACCTCGGGCCCAAAAAAGCACAATTAAATGGCCAACAAAAACAATGCAAGCCAGCTTGCCTGGGAATGGCATGAGTCCCAGAACACTGGATTAGGGTTTCATTATAAAGTAATTACTAAAATTATATTAGAAATTATGAAAAAATTAAATACTTGCTAGGTTATAATTTATTTTATATTTTTAAGGGATTTTTAAGAACGACTATCTTCATGAAAGGGCCTTGTTTGATGGAAAACTTTGTATTTCATTTTTGGGTTTTTACAGTTTTTAAGAATTTATTTTTGATGTATTCCTACTATTTAGGTTAGTATAAATGTTAATAAATTATAATATATTTAAATATAAAATACTAGAGATTATAATAGAATAGAAACAGAATAGAATAGAGATTATTATAAATTATTATGAATTATTATAGATTATTATACATTATTGTAGATCTCAAGGGGTTAATGAAGAACATTATAGATTATCAGTAGAGAGTTTGATGGATAATAATGGAATATTATTTAAAGATTAATATAAGAATATTATAAACTATATTAAAACTAATATTTAACTAATTTAGTAACCACTGTCTATGCCCACTGAACTGAACTGCAAATGGATAACTACAATTTTTCGGATCCTGTAACTGGAGTCTGGTCGTCAACAGGATTGCCAGTGCCAGTGCCAGTTGGAATAACTATAGCCAAGGCTATATATCTATGGCCCTTGCTCTAGACGTGGCCAAAAAGCAATTAGCAAAGTTTTCAGTCTCCAAAACACTCACTCCTCAGGGGGGCCGGCCGGGTGGACGATGATGATGGAATCAGGATTGGAAATGGACAAAAAGAGAATGGGAATCGGATTCGGAATGGTATGAGAATGGATGTGGGATTGGTAATGGGTATGAGGGTGAAGGACATGAGGCCTTAAGGATGTGACCATCATCAATCTAGTGCAGTTGCGCAATCCATCCGATCCCATTCAGATTGCATTTTGGGGTCGAATGTATTTAGAAAAATATTTTTGAAAAACTATCTTTTTAATATTGAAATATATAATGTATACTCTCAGTTTTTATACTTTAAATACAATTTTTTTGTTTGTTTTTTTGGTAAAAACTTTACAGTACAAAGTGTAAATTTCAAATCCCTAATTCTTTTTTTAAATCTTACCAATTTTGAAATTTTTTGAAATTGTTTTTCAAAAAAAAAATAACTGTTGAAAGGACTTAAAAGGAAAGAGGACAAGTTTTGCATTTTAAGATTATTTTTTACGGTTCATAGAAATATTTATGTATCTTCAATATTTCCAAAAACATTTTAAAATACAAAAATTTTTTTAAATACCAATATTTGTAGGATACTTTTAAGTTTTCAGTTTATATTAGAATATTTCAGAGTTTTTAAAGATTATTTAGAGAGTCAACAGTTCAGATTCAGTTTAGTTTAGTTCATTTTATTTGAAGACTAAAGAGTTTTATTCAGTTTCAAATATATTCAAACATTTTTTGAAATTTAAAAAATGTCTAATGAACTTTCAAAACCATAACTATAATCCTAATTAGCAAACAATGGCTTTTTTCTTTTCTAAAACTATTTCTAAAAATTAATTACAAGATCTGGGTATAACCTATTTGTAAAAATTAGAAAAGATGTTAGAATTTTCTTTAAAAATGGCAACCCCTCGTCGACTATCGCAATTTCCAATTATTCATGGATAATCTAACCCAAAATGGGACGTTAATTACTGGCGCATGTCAGTGGCATTTGCCTTCCACCACGCCCCCGCCCACAGGGCCACTCCCAACGACGCCCCTGGCCCAGTGCCACTCCCACAATTTGGTGGCGCCTCCAACGATTTGTAACTGTTTTGTGCGGCGTGAATTGCAAAAGTACTCCCCAGAAGCCCCAAAGAAGGGGAAACTATTTGCTTTTTTGTTCAACTGTAAACAGCTCCTGCTTCCCTTGCCCCTCTCTGGACCCAATCCGTAGTCCAGAGTCCTTAGACCTTAGTCCGTAGTCTCCGGCCATTTATCGGGTGATTAATTAAGCTGCAAGGACCTGCGAATGCAACTTCCTGCCGCTGACAACTCCCGATGGAGAAGGCTGCCTCCTGCCAGGGCTCGCCGGCATTAAAGATTTCCGCAAATTATTAAATTAGTTAATTACTTGCCTAAAAATACAATAAAATACCTTACAGCATAACTTAACTTTTCTTATAAGTTCCCTCAAAGGTTTTATGACATATCTTATATATGTATATTCCACAATAAATATCATTTAGATTTAGTAATGAAATTAAAACATTTGACTAATATTACCTTCTTGAATGTTTGGCTATTTTTTCTTAACAATTGTGAAAATTATTTTTTGAATTTTGTATTTAATTGTATTATTTTTTAATAATTTATTTTTTGAAATTTGATACCATTTCTTAAAGCTCTCCTAGAAAACATTAAACTGAGTAGTGAGGGAATACATGAGCGTTAAGGGATCTATGAAGCAAGACTCTCTAGTTCGAACTTTAAAAAGAAACAAGAAAAGCCTACACTGAATAAAAATACTTATATAGTTTTAAATAGACCATGGAAAAGATATATTTTTTGATTTTCAAGGATGGAGATATTTTAACGCCGATAACTAATGAATAAAAATAATATGAAATATGATATGAATGAAAATAATATTTCCAATTCATTGGCATTAAGTACTAAAAAATAATAAAAGTATTAAATAGAATATATTGTATTACTATAACCAGGGCCGTAGCTAGCATGGGGCAGGTGGGGCGGTGCCCCAGGGCCCCCGAAGGGAAAGGGCCCCGCCGGGGCAAAAGACTTCCGTATAGGGGGCCCCAAATTTACTTGTTGCCCCAGGGCCCCCGAGGCTCTAGCTACGGCCCTGACTATAACTACAATTTTTTTAAAATTTGTGATTTTTTTTAAATTCTATCTGGGTTTCTATAAAAAATTCTTTCATAAAATTCAATCTATTTAGGCCTAAAATTAATATTATTTTTATTTTCTCCGAGTGTAGGCTTCTCTCAGCTCCGAAAGATAAGAAAGTCAAGCCATGAGAGTGGCTGAATGAGATATATATATAGTATATATGTATATAGTAGGAGTTTATTCAAGATTTGGTATATTTATTAATTTATTAATACTAGAGACTAGAGAGATTAAAAAATATTTTACCTACCTGTAATTAAAACTATAACTATTATAACTATAATATTTAATCGAAACCAGGCTTAAGTCAAGCTGTTTTGATCTTTGGATCTAATTTTAATCTTCTTTAATTTTTTTCACTATAAGATTAGTATTTCTAACACCAGTATTAGTATTTCTATATAAAATTCTCTTTAAAAAAAAACTTCAAACTAAACAAAAATGAACTCTTTCGAGGGAATTGCTTTTTTTTAGCAATAATCTTATATTTATGTTTTTGTTTCCAATTCCGAATCGAGATTATCAAAACACTTGGCTTGGATCCATCGCGAAACTGCCGCCAGAGATTAGATTACCCACCGCGGGCCAGCTCCCATCCGTCCCAGCCGGGGATGAGTAATGGTGTTTATACAACGAGGGGGTAATACGATCGAGGGGGTAATACGATCGATCGATAACGATCCGATCCCTTTCCCTTCGAACTGTTTGTTTGGAAAAGGCAGAGTTTCGTCGGAAAATGTGCCACTTGGCGACACGATGGAAAACCAAAAAATAAAACACAATTTCTACAGTTTTTGTTGATTTTTTTTTGTTGCTTAAGATCTTTAGAATTAGAACAGTTTACACACTCAAATGATTAATTCTTAATAATTGTCAGAAACAAAATAGAAATAATAAATGAAGGCATTATTATAGTTCTAAAATGAATCCCAGTTCCTGCAGACATTTCGTCGGATACTTATGTTGGCTAAGTAATGGGCAGGATCTGCAGTGAAAATTCCTGGAAAAATCCGGAAATTCAGGAAAAATGTGCATATATATATATGTAAGGTTTGGGGCCTCATTGTCAAGGGTTGTGCGAGGATGTATGTATACTCTGGGGGGGATTTACAATGCAAGGGGGGGCGGGCTCTACCATTCGGGAGGAAAAAAAAAAAATCAAACACAGTACTACTAGTATGTGCATTTGAACCTAAGCCTACGATTGTGTTTTGCCTATCAATGGCCAAGCTTTTCCGCAATAAAACGCATAAAGTCGCTGCGGAACAGGATCTTTGGATTCTCGTCGGTGGCGTGCTCCTCCACCTGGCGCAGGTTCGTCCACTTCCAGAGCAGGCGGCGCAAATAATTGTTACGGAACGAGGCGAAGATCTCGGCCGCCTTATTGGGCTGTACTTGATCCGTGAAATACGCCTCCCGGTTGGCCGTATTGAAGTAGTACAGCTGGCCGCGGGACTTCGATTTGGCGGTCACATAGTGGGGGGTTAGTTCGCAGAACATCAATATGCCGCCGGGCACAAAGAACTTGTTGTCCTCCAGGGCATACCCGAAGCGCTGTGAATTATCCTTGAGGACGTAGAGCCGCATCTCGGCAAAGAAGTTGCCCATATCCTGCAGCCGGAAGAAGGGCTTGCTGCGCAACGGTCCGCAGGTGCGATCCTTGCGATACGGCTTGTTCAGGCTCCGGGCGAACTTGTCGCACATGCTGACCCGTTCGCGGAACGGCTTGCGCCGAATATCAATGCCGCCCAGGCAGATGCCATCGATGATGTGTAGGGCCGCCACCCGCTGGATGGTCCTGCCCTCGCCATAGAACTCGTACACGATCTGGCCAAAGAATATGGAGCGGGGCTGCACCTCGAAGGCCGCCTCGACCAGTTCCCACTTCTTGTGCTCCGTGTAGCGCATCAGGCTGCCGCGCGACTTGCACAGGAACATGGTGCAGGCATTGATGTTGGTCTCCTCGCGGCCCACGGGCACAAAGTACCAGTCGGCCACGTTCTGTATGGCCGTTTGCAGGTTGGCCCGGCTGGTCATCTCTGCGGGCGGCTGATTCAGCCAGTTGCGATCCTTGCCCCAGTCGGCCAGCAGCTCCTCCAGCAATCGGTCCGTGGGCTTGATCTCGGGCGCCTGGCGCAGCTTGTCGGGCAGGCCCCAGCGCTTCAGGCACTCCTGACGCACCTCCGACTGACGGGTCTCCTTCAGCTCGGGATTCTGGGCGAAGGCGGCTATCTTTTTCAGGCCGACGATCTGTTTCTTGCCAATCGAGTTGTTCGAATCGATGATGTAGCGCACAAAGTCCTCGTCCTCCGCCAGTTCGGTGGCGTTGAACACCTCCAGGATGTCGAGTTCGCTGTCCTGCGGATACTCCTCGTTGATGATGACATTTATGGCGTTGAGGTAACCAACTATGCCGACAATATCCGCCTCCGGACGCTTGTACTTGCACACCAGATACCGCTCCGAGTTGGCCGGCCGACTGCTGTTTGGCTTGATGATCGATATCTGATGGAAGCACTTGTACATCAGATACACCAGTCCCACGCTGAACGGCGTGAACAGATCGAACACCTTGCACACAAAGTTGCCGTTCTCCCGCAGGATCTTCAGGGCGGTGAGAAACTGGCAGAGGTACAGTTGCTTGGAGAGGATCTCCTGGATGTTCTCCTGCCCCTCCACCGAAAAGCCACCATCGGCCATGGCAAAGTGCACACCCTGCGGCGTATGCCTACGGATGTAATCGTTCAACGAATCCTGGTTGGCCTCATCGAAGATATTGCCATCCTCCTTGACGCCGTAGAAGGCATCGAAGGGCTCGGGCGACGCCGCAAAGAACTTGTCCAGCTTAAAGTCGTTGGCACCGCGCAACGTGAAACCAAAGCCCTTGGCCTGCCATGATTTTCGATGCAACACGTATTCCGAGAAGCCGCCAGGCCCTATAAAATACAAGAGAAACCGAATCATGTTACGTTTACACCACTCGGGTTACGTTGATAAGAACAAGGCATTCGTCTGGACAACCACATTGATGAAAGTCGATGGGGTGTGGTGTCTTTGTTACATAAATTATGGTCTTATCTGTCAAAGGGACTTCCCCTTTACTCACCTGCACACATGTCCGTAAAGTAGAGCAGCTCATCATTGGCCACCTGCGAGTGGCCGTCAATGTCACGGGGATTGGTAAACATAAAGTCGCACATGGAGTCTATATTGGCCATCTTGACGGCGGCCCGATTCAGGAAGATGGAGCTACGGATGATCTCGAACGGATTGCAGCGGGAGCGGGCCCTGCGCTTTTCGTTGTCGTTGAGATCGTCAAACACCGTCTTGGCATTGAGGATGTGGTGCAGAATGGTCGGATCGCAGTAGCGAGTTTCTCCGTCTAGGGTTCTCTGACGCGGTCCCGTCACAATGTGGCTCATCAGTTGATCCTGCGAGTAGCTGGCCGCACCGGCTCCCAAATTTGTCAGCCACAGTACTGGTTCTGGTATCTCCAGTTCCTCCATACTGGGATCCCATTGGCCAGCCGCTGACTGGATGGAGTCCAGTTTCAAACCGAATCCCCGACGGCCATCCTGCTGCACAGCGATGATGGGCTCGAGACGACCCTGGTTGGTCTTGCCCAGACCCTTGTCGTTCTCGTAGCCCATCTTCTTCATCATCTCCATGGCCTTGTTCGAGTAGCTCTTCACCCATTCTCGCTTGATCTTCTTGGGCGTGGGCTCGGCGTTCTCATCGTCGGACGGCTCCTCCATGCTGCTGGCTGCGAGGCTAGCCTCTGGATATCGATGGGGATCAGCCAGCTTCTCTTATCTGCTGCAGTGCGGTTGTGGAGTGGATAATTTGTTTATTTAATTGTTTGATATTATTTGTTTATTCATTTGGTGCACCAGAGTTGCCAGTACCCTGAATCAGTGCTGCCAGAACTTCATTGACAGGAATATCTCGGCCAACGTAAAAATCTATGTTCTAGAAATAGTTTGACGCAATTTTCAATGAATTTTATGAAGCAAATGGTGATAGTTTTAAATATACTAACTGCCAGCTTCAAATCTCTGCCCACAGCTCTGATGTTCTTGTTCTAGTTTCCCAATTTTTTTTAAATTTGTGTTTTCGCGCCACAATTTTAAACTCATATTTTTTACTTAAATATTTCAACATCTCTATTATTTTACTCTTTTTGTGGTCTTTTATTTATTAAAACCATTAAAACATTTCAAACCGACAAGTGTCCTAGATGTTATTTTCTATTTTTAATCTAATAGCTTTATCCTTTTCTCGCCAGATCTAGCACTATAACCGCTAAAATGGCAGCCCTGCCGTATCCGCCACAGCTGCCTGCAGAAGTAGCTTTTGAGTTGCCAGACTGTGGTGTTTCAGCCGCAAAAATACCATAAAATACTAAAACTTGTTTATTTAAATTAAAAAAAAAAAGGTAAAACTAATAAAAATAGACAGGATTTGAGTCCATTTTTTAATTAATAAAAGCAGAAACCTTGTCTTGAAACTTTTAAAAGAATAATTTAGTTGTAGATAGTCGAACCTTTTATTTTAAAACTTTTTGCAAATGTTTAGATAAAAAATATCTAATAAAAAATATTACATTTTTATTCAAATATTATAATTTATTCATATTTTGACTATATTTGGCTATATTATAGGACCTTCCTAGTGCTAACTTCAGCATGGGCTTCGTCACCTGCACTCGTGAGAATGTCGTCCACACTGATTCAAATTAAAATAATAAATAATAATAATAATTATTAAAATAATAGATACTCTTTATAGTTCTATTTAAAATTGGTTTTAGGTTATACACCTATTAGATTAGATTAGGTTAGGTTAGATTGGTGTATAATTCACATCTCCGTCCTTTCTACGGTGTGACCATCGTCACCTAAGCAGGAAGCCATCCACAGTGGTTTTAAATATTATATAAAATAAATAATAAATATTAAATATATTTATAGTTCTATGAAAATGTTCTAATTAAAACCTTTCGATTAATGTATAATTCAATCAGATTCTCAGTAAGTGCGTGCGAACTACAGCGTAACCTTCGTCACCTACATAAAAATTTCCTCAAAGAAACATAAGCTTTATTAACTATTCTAAGCTTTTAAATTATAGTTTTTCATTCAACTCCTATAAGCGACAAAAAAAAGGATTCTTAATCTGAAGTCTATAACTTCTTTATAAAATTATTAATATCCATGCAATTTTCTTCTTAATTATTAATTTTTTGCTTAAAACTAACATGAAGAAAGATATATTTAATAATAAATGATAGCCTTCATGCAAAAATTCATTCAAAAACTAAAAATTTTAAGAAATAAACTGGATTTTCTGAAACTTGAAGAAAACAGTATTTCCAAAAAAAAAAAGGTGATCCATGGTGATGTCTACATCTTTTCGTAGGTCTCGCTATAGGGACAAGAGAGGCAGGTGTGCGTGTAGGTGTCCTCCTCCTCATTGTAAGTATCCGGACCGAACTCGTGCTGGTGGATTTCGTGGGTCTTCTTCGTATAAATACTGCTGCGGACCTCCATGCGGAGCTGCTTCATCTGCTTGTTGTACTTGCGGGCCTTGCCCACCTCACGTTTGTCCTCCCTGGCCTCGTGCTGGCGCACCAGCTCATCCTCGCTGCCCCACACCTCCATGGCCCGCTTGAGGACCTGCAGATGCAGGTATAGCTTCATCTCGCCCCAGCGCACGTTGTGTGGATTCTTCCGGCTGATGTATCGCAGCGGGGGCTGTCGCTTATCAAAGTCACAGTCCTTCAGAAGGTACTCTGCCTTGGCCTCGGTCCTGGTGATGAGCGAGTGCTTCTCCTCGTTATCCCGACACTTGTCGCACACGGAATGATCAAAGTTACTGAACAAATAGGAATCTGCGAACTGGTCGCCGCACTCCAGGCACTCCTCATAGTGAACTGGGATGGCGATAGCGTCGTCCTCAATAACAGGTATACCATCTCCGGATGCTGCTGCCGCTCCAGCTGCCCCGGCTCCCGGAAGCACAGGCTGTTCCAGCAGAAAGCCGCCACCGCTGTCTATGTACTTGGTGCCCTGCACCTTGATTACGGAGGAGCTCTGGCTTAGAACCGCCTCGGGATGGCTGCCATCTTTGTTGCTGCAATGGAATCAAACACTTCAGTAACCAATTCTGGAGGATTGCCCTTCAAATAACCCTCACCTGGCCAAATCCTTGTAAGGATGCGCCACCAACTTGGCCTCCCGCAGCTTCAGGGCCTTGGCCTGATTCCGTTCGATGCGAGCCTTCTGGGCCGTGGTTAGCGTGGATCCAGTTGGGGCCACTGGAGCGCTGGCTACTTCCTCGGACATCTTAATTTCACAATTATCAACTGCCCGCTTAAAGTCACTATTTTGTAAACAATTTCTTCTTCTTCTTGGATTTGACATTCAGTTCGAAGAGGGTTGCCAGACCTTGGGATTTCAAGCTGCGGCCGAATCGGGCACACTTGTGTTGTTTTTGTTTTTGTTGTGGCCGGAATGCAGGGTAAACTCTGCAAACTGCTGTTGAAATGCCTCCTGGCGCTGCCCCTCATCCTGCTGGTGGACTACTGCGGCCTACTCACCCACCTCCACGAGCTGGACTTTGAACAGCACTTCCACTATCCGGTGAAAGATGACGGCCGTGCTACCTCTGGAATCGGCGGATACGCCTTTTTGCGAATGCCCACATTTACGGGCGAGGCCGCGGCGGATCCGCCCCGGCTAACGATTCTCGTCAAGAGCGCCGTGGCCAATGTCCGGCGCCGGGATGCTATCCGACGCACTTGGGGCTACGAGGCCCGCTTCTCGGATGTCCAGCTGCGACGGGTTTTCCTGCTGGGCACGGCGGAGGAGGGGCAAAAAGACGTGGCCTGGGAGGCGCGCGAGCACGGCGACATTCTCCAGGGTGATTTTGTGGATGCCTACTTCAACAATACCCTGAAAACCATGTTGGGAATGCGGTGGGCCAGCGAGCACTTCAACCGGAGCGACTTCTACCTCTTCGTGGATGACGACTACTATGTGTCGATGAAGAACGTGCTACGGTTCCTGGGCAGAGGCAGACAAACCCACCAACCGGATGTATTGTTTGCCGGATACGTTTTCCAGACCTCTCCGCTGCGCCACAAGTTCAGCAAGTGGTACGTCTCCCTGGAGGAGTATCCGTTCGATCGTTGGCCGCCGTATGTCACCGCCGGCTCCTTCATCCTCTCCCGCCAAGCTCTGCTTCAGATGTACACCACCAGCAAGCGGATACCATTGTTTCGCTTCGACGACGTCTACCTGGGCATTGTGGCGCTCAAGGCGAGGATTCCTCTTCAGCACTGCGATGACTTTCACTTTCATCGACCGACGTACAAAGGCCCGGATAGCTACAGCAGCGTGATAGCCTCCCACGAGTTCGGCGATCCCGACGAAATGATCCGGGTGTGGAACGAGTGCCGGTCAGCCAACTATGCGTAGCACCTGAGTAGCTTTCCCATAAAATAAGCTATATATTTAACGACAAGAGATTGTATATACGAAAGTGTTTAAGACCTAGATCGAAGCCTTATGAAAGTACACCTAAAATAAGATATATATTTTTTTTTTGTAACAGCCAGCATGATGGACAAATAGCTATAGCTTTTCTTGTAACTAAAAATAAGATGTAATTATAGTTTGTTAGCAGAGACCTCTATAATAATAAAATAAATCTAAAAAAGAAACTGAAGAACAAAAGATTAGTTAATATTTTGTGTGGCTTTTGGCACAAAACCTGGCTTTAAATTTAATTTTTTTTTAAATAATTTTAAAAATAATACGACAATAAAACTGTTGCAATTAAAAGTTACTCGTATATTACTTTATTTATCATTTAGTGGGTTTCCTAAAAGGGTTATACCTATAAACATAGATTGGTTTCTATTCGAAAACATAAAAAAAAAGTGTTTTCCAACAAATGCCTTGAAAATAAAGACAATTTTTAATTTAATTACAATTTATTTTTCAAAAAACATCTAAAAAGAGAATGTAAATTATACTATTTTTTATTGCATTACTCATTAATTGCTGATATCATGAGGAAAAACATAAAATTCAAATAGTACAATGTTTTACAATTTAAAAATTTATTTTTAAGATTGCGGTTATATTAAAAGGAATTTGTCATAATAGTTAGTACACGTCATTTGCTGATAAATTTGGTAGATTAATCAAATTTCTCAAATTCATGGGACTAGGATGACGTCATTTTAAAGAAAAGAGAAAAATTGATACCTATAACTAGTATTTTTTTTTCTTTAAATGCTTTTACTGGGAATCCCTCAATGAGTTTTTCAATTTCCGATCAAGTAACCGGAAAAGTTATGGTCGTATCAGGCACCATTTGTTTTGTTATTATTACTTTAATTCCACTAAAAGCCACTCACGCAGCTGCTGTTCTCTCCTAAACGAGGTACAATTAAGCAAAATTGTGACTGCCGCCACGTATGGCAGCTTATTGTGTTTTTCATTTGAAAAAAAAACCCTTACAGTATACTTTCCTTTAAAACAAGGTTTCAAATTTCACGTTCGTAACGGGTCGGCTAGAGTTGCCAGCTCGCAGAAATTCGGGCGCTTCGTCTCCAGTTACTCTCTTTTGGCTCAGGAGCTGCCAACTCTGATGTTAAATAAAGCTAGATTTAGGTAATAAAAAAGCTAAAAATATATTCATTATGTAAACAAGTTTAACATTTATTGATTTTTAGCTATTAATTTTTAAGATTTAAAAAAATTTATTACTTTATTTTATTACTTTGTAACAACTGGCATATAAAAATGTCAATTTCGCACCATAATTGTCATAAAAACACTATCTTTGTTTATTTTTTTTAATAAATTTATATAATTTACGTTAAAATCTATTCACAACTACATAATATAAAATTCTTTACAAATGGTTTTTTTTTAATATTTTAAAAGCTTATTAATTAGGAACTAAAAGCTAACTGAAAGCAATATGAAACCCGATTTTATAACTAGAATATAGATAGTATTTAAAACTACAAGTTTTAAAAAATTTATATTAAAAATTTGTTTATAAAACGCAATAGCTTTCAACTTAATTTAGTAATTAAAGTACAAGCTAAAATTCCCGCTAGCAGATCTAGCCGGAATAAAGCCAGTCCGGCAGCACTACGCACTGGGGGTATATAAGAGGAGTTTTCGCTCTCCGCTCAACTTTTCGCAGCAATTCAAACTGAAAGTAACGCCGAGCCAAGACTTAGTGCGCTTCGCCAGGAATCAATCCGGGTATTTTTTTCAGAAAGTGTCAAATCAAAATCCTAGTGTATACCAATATATATATACGATAGTATATATATATATATAAACCCACCCAGATCCAGCTTCCTGTTTTTTTAAACTCCAAAACCAACGCCAAAAAAACCAAATTTAAGGTGAGCCTAGCTTATAGCTTGATTTTTCTTTTTCAATCTGCAAACCGGCAATTTCTTTTCTTCGAAAAAACTGTTGGTCGGTGGAGGAGGAGGAGGGGGGGCGAAAAAGTCTGCAAGCCAAAAGAAGTTAAAGAAGAGGAAGAAGATACCAGTTAACTGGTTTTTTTTTGTTGACTGCGCTTCTTCATTGATTGCAAAAAAACGGCAGTGGCGGATTTGTTATAAATATTTATTGTGCTAGTCCGTTACTTTTTTTTTTCTTCTTCTTGATTGTCCATTTCATTTCTATCCATCATCATCGTCACTTCTTTGTAATTTTCTGTGGCACAAGCGCAGCTGTTAAAGCGCTTTTGTCGCCGTCTGCTTTTGTTGACTTTTTTTTTTTTTTTTTGCGCTGGAGTCTGGTGTATGTGTGTGTGTGTGGGGCTTGAACTTCAGAGCCGCTGCGGCTGCTCGTTACCTATCCCCCCCAATTTATTTTTGGCGTACGTGCGTGTGTGTGAGTGCCGGCCGGCATTTTGTTTGTGTGTGTGTTTGGGCGGGGCACACGTACTGTATATCCTCCCCACGAACGGCGCGCAAGTCATGCACTTGCATGTCCATGTGTGCCTCTGTGTGTGAGCTGCAAAAATTTATCTGGGCGTGGCGGCGGCATCATCACCATTGCTTCATTGTCACAAAAAAAAAAAATATATCCCAGTATCCAGTATCGAATATATCCAATTTTGAAATAAAATATGTGTAACTGCCGCCTGCATACAATGTGCCTGGCTGCCTGCATACTTAAAATTCATTGCGAGTCTCAGCCGCTCTCTGGCCGCCCTCTCTCTCCTTTTTGCGTCTTCTTCTGCCCACCCCCATCACTGACGCAGACACTGGCGCTGCGAGAAAAGGGGATCATTTTTGGGGGTTAAACGAGCCGGATGACTAAGGGTTAACTGATATTTTGTTAAATTTTTAAATAATAAGCTTAAGGTTGAAATAGAAATTGAAATCCCCTTGAAAATATCCTCGGCACTCCCCTGACACAGCTGCATGTGTAGGAGTTGAGGGTGTAAAGCGGACGTGTCTGTCATTTCTCATTTCTCCTGCCGCCGCCGCCCCCTACTCCCCCTACTCCTTTGCCGCTTTCGCTCTCTCCTTTTGAAACTTCATTCTTCTTCCAGTCTGGTGCCACGCATCAGCGGCTTTGACTCATTTCTCTTGGCCTTAAAAAAAAAAAAATTATGTCTAAAAAAAACGAAATTCTACTTTTTTTTTTGTCTTGAAGTCTTGAATTTTTTGGATTTTTTTTTTTTGGCTAACGGCTGCTAGGCGCCGTCGGCAACGCCTCACCGACGACCCCCTTGGCGCCCTCCCCCTTTAACAGCCAAGTCATAAACCCGAAAAAAACAAAATGTAGATATAAAAAAAAAAAAATTAACAAAAACAGGAAAAAGAAAGAGGAAAGAAGAAAAGAGCGTTGAGCTGTGGAAAGCTTACACAAGTCAGGAGCAAGAAGCAGCACAGCTGTGTGGGCAGGGTAAAAAGCAACAAAGCAACAAAATAACAAAAACAACAACTACAATATAGCAATATAGCAGCTCCGTATGATTCATCGGTGGCTTTAAAAGCGGGGTGACCATATTTCGAAGTTGGAAGTTGATTCATGGCAAACACCCCCCTTCCACCAACCCATCCAAAATCAGCTCATTTTGTATGTATGCAGAGTTGTTGCATTGCACATATGTACATTATTACATATATGCTTGTTTTTGGCCTCTCCTTTGTTCGCTGGAAGGAGCTGCTGACACCCAGCTTACATTGGCAATTAATCGAATGTAAATTGAAAGAGAAAGAAAGAGAGCGGGAGAGAGAGCCTAAGAGAGCTAAGCTTAATGGTACATACAATGTAAAGATCGCGATTACACGAAAAACAAAGAAATACCTAAAACCCTTTCTCAACCCTTACTAATTATGTATTCATACTTATATACATAAAAGCTATATACAATAAAATCACGTATTGCCCATAAATATGTAATTACACTTGGTTTCCCCGCTGTGTTCACGATAAATGAGACGCATGAACCAGCTAGAGATTGGAAGGAGTTGCCTGCCAGCTAGGCCGCCGTTAGTCAATCAACTTGAGGCTCGGCTTTACGACCATTTATGGCCATAAATGTGCAAATAAATATAGATTTGCGACTGGGTACGTTTTGGTTCGGTCGCTGCCCTTGTAACGGATGCAATATCGATGATACGATACACACAGTCATATGGCGCACTTGACTGGCAATGCAATTTCCAATAGAATGCCAATTCTTTGTATTCCAATGGCAATTCCAGAATGGAATACGATCGTGTCGTGGAATGATGGGGCACGCAACTCGAATTTTGCAACTAAAAATAAACGTGATAAAATGCAGTTGAACCTCAAGAACACCCGTTTAACGCTGATAAGGGGGTACGAGCGTTAAAACAAAGACGACCAATAATGGCTTTTATAAAAATAAAAAAAACAAAAAAAAAAACAGAAACAGTCACTTGGAAGAATTTGAGACTTAATCTCTTCCCGCTGGAAGGTTCGCTGAACTCTTTCTTTGCTACTGCATTCTCTTCTGCGGTATCTCGCTCTCTCTCCCCCGCATTCCGATTAAGCTTAATCATTAAATAGGGGGGATGTCAATTAAAATGTTAAGAAAATCAAAACTATATTTTCTTGCGAAAGTTTTTAAAGAATATTATATATAATTAAAAAAATAATATTTTATAAATATTTTTTATTATTTTTTTTTAGTAGTAGCCCCCCCTTAAGCCTCATCATCATTGTTGTCCTTGCTGCGCATTTATTTGTGTGTGTTGAGTCATCCTTATCGGCCGTATGATTCGTATGATTAACTTTTTTTTTAGTCAGTTCGACTAATCGAATGAGAAACTCACAAAGAAAATGAATAATTTATTAAAACACGTCGTCATATGAAATCGGCTATCAGATCGGCTATCAATGATGTTCAGTTTCCGCTATAGCTGATTAGTCATCTTTATCCAATATCCAATCTCATGTAGTGGCTCTGCCTTTATAGTTGGGCCCCCCAAAAGGATGGCCTGTTGCTGCTATCTTTCCACCAATAAGTCAAAAAATAATCACCCAAAGATTGCGGGTCTTAGCTATTTCTGGGGAAAATAAATAAAGAAACCGCTGTTTGTGGCATTTTTGCAATTTATTTTGTTTGCCAAAGTGGTGTGTTTATCAATAAATGTATCGTGTTTATTTATGGTTTTATCTTTATTAACATGCCATTGATTTTTAAAGGCAGTTACAAAGTTTATTACAAAATATATAAATATTATAGGTTAGTGGGAAGGAAGAAAGTAATAATATTTTAGGAATGTTGGATAAAAATTCAAAATTTATTAAGTGGAATTCCCTTCATAACTCCAAAAACCACTCTTCCTTTTGTTTTGAAATTTTATCCATCAACAATATTCACTTTATTATAAAAAAAATATAGCTCTTTTTTTAAGAAGCTTCAGAGTAAATGGGGGCCATCGCCCCATTTGTTTATATTTCTTCATAAAAGCTATACTCTTCTATAAATAAACACAAAAGTGAGCGTATTTTTCTAAGAAATTAACCACATCCCCCCCTCTTAATTATTTCAGATGGCCGCCCCAGCTGCACCAGCCCTTAAGGACCTTCCCAAGGTGGCCGAGAACCTGAAGAGCCAGTTGGAGGGCTTCAATACGGAGAAACTGAAGAATGCCAGCACCCAGGAGAAGATCATTCTGCCCACCGCTGAAGGTGAGAGGTTGCCCTATCAGAATCTCAGCTAACTATGTAACCCAATCCCTTTCTAATAAATAGATGTGGCTGCCGAGAAGACCCAAAAGTCGATCTTTGAGGGAATCACGGCGTTCGATCAGAACAACTTGAAGCACACGGAGACCAACGAGAAGAACCCGTTGCCCGATAAGGAAGGTGCGTTTCTGGCCATAAAAGCCATCTGGTCTAGCCCGGTCTGGCTCAGTCTGGCCGGGTTAACAAGCTACCCTAAATGGCCAATGTCACTGGCCAATTGGTAGTGCAACTAGTGCACGCAATCTACAATACTGTTCTTTTCTTTCTAGCCATCGAGCAGGAGAAGGAGAAGAATGAGTTCATCGCCGGCATCGAGAACTTTGATGCGAAAAAGCTAAAGCACACCGAGACAAACGAGAAGAACGTGCTGCCCACCAAGGAGGTCATCGAGGCCGAGAAGCAGGCTTAGATCCGATCCATATCCAGATCCGATCCGATCCTTCCCGTCGTCGTCATCGTTTATATTTCTCGTCTCGCCGCATCTCTCACACTCTCTTACCACACGCTCTTTATACGTATAAAATATATATATTCCTTGATTTTTAACCCTCAAAAACTGCTAAAATGCATGAACCACCATTCTGAAGTCAAAAGTCGGAAGTCGGAACGAGGAGTATAACCCAGCCAGCTGGCGCACACTAGTGACGAAGTCGTGATTTTGTGATTGCTGCTGTTGCTCGGCACCTCGTCGCTTGCAAAAGTATTTTTATATTTTAATCGTATTTCGTTTGTTTTAAAAAAGAAAATTCTTTTTTTTTTTTATATATTTTATTTTATTTTATTTTATTCTGTATTATTAACAAAGCTGCTGCTGCCGCTGCGGCGAGTAAGTCTCATTCCTAAAAGCGTAATTAACATAAAATAAACATTCGTCTATCCCCGTATATATATTATATATAAATATATTTCTGTACAACAAAAGCAATACGACAACAAGAACAACAACTCACTCGGAACATGGAATGCATTTAAAAGGCAGAAAAAACAGCAAAAATATTTGAGAAATACTTTTTAAAAGACATGAACCACGTAAAATGCGTATAAAACATAAAAACAAAAAAAACAGACTAAGAAGGCGATTAAAAAAAAAATAAGGAAGAACTCCATCTATATAAAGAGTATGTGTAATTTTTTAATAAACTTTTTTTTATATACTTTACATACGATATATTTATACTGGGAAAAATAAAAAAACAAACATAAATGTAACATTTTATAACAAAATAACTGGCTTTTCTTGGGCGGATATCGAGGTTGTTTTCAGGAAATCTAATCTTTAAGTTTTTTTAATTAATTCCATATATTTTGTCACGATTTTTGTAAATTCTTGCTTATAATGTGCTTTAGCGAGTTCGTGCCAAGCTTTGGTGATAAATATTTGTATATGTACATCGGAATAGGAACACAAAGGCATTATTCGTCAGACTTTTGTGTTTTAATACCTTATTCGTCACCAATAACTTTACCCAGTCAGTTTTAAATAAAACTACTTTGATAAATATAATATATATGTATACATAGGAATATGAATACAAAGGCATTTATCGCCACATTTTCGTTTTTCAACAGCGCGCTCGTCACCGATTTAGAGCTTTTTAATAAATATTGGAGGTACGAGTTCGTGCTAAGCTTGATTTCAGTTTTAAGTTAAATTACCTTTTTTGAGAAATATTTGTACACAAAGGAATAAAAATACATAGGCATTATTCGTCACATTTTTCTGTTTTAACACCTTGTTCGTCACCAGTAATTAACCCAGTCAAGACTTCATTTTTTTATTACTACGAATGTGAACTATCAAGCTTGATTTCAGTTTAAAATAAACTACTTTGATGATAAATATTTGTATACATAGGGAAAGGAATAAATAGGCAATTATCTTCACGTTCACATCGTGTTTTATTACCGCATTCGTCACCGGTAATATTTGTACATCGTCTACAGCCTTTTTAATAAATGTCGTAACTAGGAGTTCGTTCCAAAATATTTTTACACAAAGGAATTTATTATAAAGGAATATATTTAAAAATACATAGGTCTTTTTCACGTTGTTGTGTTTTAATTTATCGTTCGTCACTAGTAATTTAACCTGTTAAAAGCCACAAATGTATGCCGAGCTGATTTTAATTAAAAAAAAAAAAACTACCAATATGTGATATATTTTTATTCTAAGCAGCATATTTTTCGTCACCAGCAATCAAGATTTTCATTTTACAAATTTTGCAAACTTTGTGCCAAGCTTGATTTTAATTTAAATTAATACCCCCTTGATGAAAAATAGATTTTATACATAGGAAGAGGAACATATAGGAACTATTCGTCACTTTTTCGTATTTTATTACCACGTTCGTCACTGGTAATTTACCACAAGAGTGGAAAGTACTTTTATTTTATATATTTTTTTGAATTAAATAGCAAGACAATTTTTATTTTATGAGTTTCTAATAAAAAAACTTTTTAATTATTAACAAATAATTATTATTTCATGAGTAATAAAATAGGCTCATTAAATAATTTTTGTTTTTTGATAAAAATATATAAACCTATAAAACAAATAAATGATTCTCTAGATGAATAATTATGAAGCTATTTTATTTTTATCCTCGGGAACGAAGCTAAAAGTTATAAAACGTTAAGGAAAAATGCATAAAGCACTTTTATATTTTAGTAAATATATTTTATTAAAAAAAAAAACATATTTTATGTTAGTTTACTTATTTAAATGTAAAATTAAAGTATCCCGTTGAGAAATAGTTCCATAATGTGAAGGATACATGGGAATCTTTCGTCGCAAAATTGATATTCCCTTCAGTGCATTCGTCACTGAAAAATACTTTTTTTTTTTAATTTTTCTAACAATTCTTTTAAAAATTGTTTTAAACTTTATACCAAACTTGATTTAAATGTTAAATAAAAGGTCCTTTAGATAAATTTTTTAGCATAATAGTCTATGCTTGGAAATTTTTTATAGGATTTTGATTCGTACTATAAAAAATCAACTTAAATACTAGGTGTGTGCTGGGAAGTTTGACTTTATAAACTAACTCTCCATGGGCGTGACCTCAGTGGATTCGGCTGCCACACCATCCCCAGCGGACTCCGATTCAGATTCTGGGCCGGCTTCGCCTTCGTCACCTTCCTTGGCAGCTTCCGCCGCGGCAGCAGCGGCTGCTCTCGCCTCCTCGTACTTGTTGGTCTCGAATTTGCTAAGATCGGCGCCCAGCAGGCGCAGGATGTGGATGGTCTCGTCCTTGTGGACGTAGGCACGCAGGCTGGAGGTGCCGCGCCAGCCCACCACAAACAGGGTGAAGCGTTCGTCCACGTACTTCAAGATGCAGCTACCCACTCCTGCAATTCAAAGGATTCATTAATTTCGAAAATAATGAAGGATGTGAAAAGTACTCACCCAGCTCCTTGCAGCGCTGCTGGGTCTCTGCTTTCAGTTCCAGCGTGGAGGGCGGCTTGGTGGGATCGGTGCAGTTAAGGAGCAAGACCAGGTCGTCGCGCTCGATCTGGATTCGCCTGCTGTCGCCCATGAAGGCGTTGGAGGTCTGCAGACCCTCCTGGGCCAGGCGGTAGGGATGGATCGTGTGCCGGTTCTCGCAGCGCACGAACGTCTTCACGCCCGTGTTGATGATCTTGATGTTGTGCTCGTTGTTGATCACCAGATCCCGGATGGGATCGGAGCAGTAGTAGATGTTCTTTTTCTTGTCGGTGACGCAGCGCGTCAGGAGGCAGCGCTGGTTGAGGGAGCCGTCCAGCTGGTAGAACTCCTTGATGGACTCGTAGTCTGGATCGTTCTCGCCAAAGAACACGTACGGATCCTCCTTGTAGCCGTGCAGGCGCCTTCGTTTCCGCTGCGGTCCCCATGGCACGGACTTCTCCTCGATCGGATTGCCCCTCTCGTCCAGCTTCGGCTCCGTCTCCACCGGCTGCTTCGCCTTCTCGTTCTGCTCCACCAGCTCCACCACATCGTTCTTCTCGAAACTTAGTTGGCGTCTCTTCTCGAGAACGGCCACGAAGAAGCCGCCACTGTCTTGCAGATGTGGCAGCACACGAATGCACTTCTCCAGGCCGATCTTGGCCATTTCGTCGGCGGGCAGCGGGAACATGCCCGGCCGGATAATGGTGTGCAGGCTCTCCGGCACCTCGTCGAAGCTATCGAAGATTTGGTCAACTTCCTTGGTGGCCAGCTTCCAGTACGTCATGCCAGGCTTGTATTTCAGTCCCGGCACCAAGTGCCCGGCATCCACCAGCTCCAGAGCTCCGTCCGCATCCTTCAGGATGCGTTGCAGCACTGCCTCATTTTCGATGGGATTCAGGGAGCAGGTGGAGTACACGAGACGTCCACCGACTTCCAGCATCTCGGCGCCACGTCGCACAATCCGGTACTGGATGCCGTGCAGGTTGTAGGCCTGAGCCAGGTTCCATTTTAGCCAGATATCCGGGTTCTTGCGGAGTGTGCCATCGCCGGAGCACGGCACATCGCACAGGATCTTGTCGAATTTAAGGATGGCCTTGGAGTTGTCCGGCTTGGTGACCAGCAGGTTGGGGAAGGCGCTGCTGTCGTGATTCGTCACCAGCAGGCACGGAGAGTTCAGGCGCTTGGCCTGGTGCACCAGCATATAGCACCGATTGTTGTCCACATCGTTGGCCAGCACGAAGCCGGGCGGAATCTTGTGCTCCTCGGGAGCGGCGTGCAGTGCCTCGATCAACTGGGCCGTCTTGGAGCCCGGAGCCGCGCACATGTCCAGCACCTTGTCCGTGGGCTTAACGTCCAGGACAATGGGCGGAATCATAGAAACGGCCTCCTGCCGACTAATGCCACCGGCTGTGGTCTCCACTATCAGGAAGTTGTGCAGACGATAGAGCGGCTCTGAGCGACGGATATCCTTGCGGGTGAGATGGAGCTGGTAGGCCAGACCATTCGGGTACCAGGGGAGGCATAGTGGGCGCTCCACCTCCTCCGGCTGTTTCTGATGCAGCTCAGCCACCGCACGCACATACTCCGTGAACAAAGTCGTCTCTATGATGGCCAGCAGAGCTTTCGCCTCCTCCCTGAAGCCAGTCACGCGGAAAGTGGTTGGCAGATTGTCTCGGATGGACTCGAGGAACTGGGCCCATTCCTCCTCGGTGGCGCAGATTTTTTGCAGGTTGTAGTACTTGATGAAGAAGGCGTTGTCGCGCTTAATCTCCTCATAAGGCAGAGCACGACGATCAGGCCTCTCGGGTCCCTAAATCAGAAAATATACAATATACAATTGGAAAGTGTCATTTGGGGGCTTCAAAATACTTACATTTTCGCGTTTTTGTCTTTTTCTGGCCGCAAAGGGATTTCCTTTCTTATTACGCCCCATTGTCAGTTATGTTTTAGCTAAATAAAGGGTAAAAACTAAGAAACTGACGTTTATTTATTTTCCAGCGCGAAACAGCCGGCAACACGTGCTTGGATGATGGGTGGCAAGTCCCTAAGAGAAGAGTGGCCAGACTGTCAGGACAGAGTGGCCAGTACCTTCCCGATAATATTATCGATAAGACTTTTATATCGAAGCTCTAACTGTCGAATATATCGAAAGCAAAGCCACAAATCAAAAACACCGCGGAAAAAGTTGAACCGAAAAGTACCATCTAAAATGGAGACACCACCTGTACAGACCATGACCAACGGAAGCTTGTCCGACATACAGATGTACCTGCACCTGGAGGCGTTGCGGCGCTTCAACGAGGATGCCCGGAACGTGAAGCGTCAGGTTGCAGAGCAGGCACGGCTCTGGTTGGACGCCAAGTGCGAATACCAACGGGAATATGCCCGCCTGGCCAACTTAACCAAGTGCATTGCCATGCGTGTGGCCCTGGACGCTAAGCGCCAGCCAGACGTGGAGAAAGGCAACCAGGCACTGAAGGATGTGGCCTACATGCGTGCCAAGATATCCAGCGATCAGCGTCCATCCGCCATTGACACCAAAATGGTGGAACAGTGCCACCAGCAACTGGAATCATCGCACAAAAGCCGCCAGAAGCTCAGCCAGCAGCAGAGAAACTTTGCCGAGAGCCACGAGGCCCTCCGAGCTCTTCGCATTGCCGTGGACACGCTGGAGAATGGCTTGGAGATCGCCACCGTGCAGGCCATGGACCAGCTAGTGGAGCAGCTCCTACCCCGCCCGGAACCAGCCAGACGCGATTAGTCGTGTCATATATATATTTGGAATATATACGCCAGTTACACAATTATAATCGATTTAAAACTAATTCCAATTATATTTTCGGTTAATTCTAGTTTATAAGCGTGATAACAGCGGAGAACGACTGGCTCATCCGGTGATGCTCTGCGGGCGCAAGCGGGTTACAAGCGGCAGCATTCTGCAAACATTTAAATCTTTATTAGTTTAGCGCACAAAGCAGCCGTGCAGCCGATTAGCAATTACCATTTGGAGCGCTTCGACCAGTCTTTGGGCGTCCAGTGGAGGCACTTGGAGTCGATTCGAATCTTGCGCTTCTCCATGGCCCGACGATGCTGTTCAATGGTGTCCCGATTGATGCACACAATGTACTGGCCCTTGTAGTAGTTGATCAGGTTGAGGTTCTGCAGAGTGGAGATCACATCCTCCTTCTTGATGGAGGTACACTCGCAGATGTCGCTACAAGTTGATGAAATGTTATGGTTTTTAATTCAAATTTTGTTTTAAACTAAGCTCTAAACTTTTTAAAATATATACTAATTGTAGTATAGTGTAATATACTAACTAATCTCTGACTTACTTGATCGTTATGGTTGGCTTCTCGCCGTCCGTGCTCGGATTCTGGCTGATGAAGATCTCCAGTATCGTCTGCGCCCAGTACGAGCGGTACGACAGGAGACCCAGATCCGATAGCGGCTTCTCCGGCGACCCGGTCTTGCCCTCGAACTTGGACAGCTCGTAACTGAACTCGATGAGGAGCTTTCCATAGCCCTTGCGCTGGTACGGTGGCATCGTGAGAATACAGGCCACGTTGTAGTCCTCGGTGCTCTCCTTCTCCTTGGAGAAGTAGCCCACAATATGAAAGCCCCGGGAATCAAACTCGGTCATGACGTAGAAAAGAAAGGGATCGGTGTCATAGTAGAGGGTCTTGTGGTCCAGAAAGAGCTTGGCCAGGAGGCAGAGGTTCTGGGCGTAGACCTTGTTCTTCCTGCCGTCGATCTCGAAGAAGGAGATGGTGTGCTTCCGGTAGATCTCATTGCCGGGAGGATGGCGCAGATTACACTTGGACAGGTGCCGTTCCAGGCACTTGCGGCTCTTCCGGTACTTCAGGCAGAACTCGCAAATGTAGATGCAGGACATCTGGCAGAGCTCTTGCGGGTACGGCGAGAAATACCATGGCTTTATCCGATGCCTGCCGAGCTCGATCATCTCGACGTTCTTCATGCGAGTGACCACGTCGTCCTGGTGGGTGACCATGCTTCCTGACTGCCGGGGCGTTGGAATCTTGCCATCCTGCGACCCATCCCCGTCCTCGTTCGCTGCCCCACTGATCAGGCCATCGCCCGTCACGTGAACGGGCGTGGAGGTGGGAGTCTGGGGCGTCTGTGGGTGGGCATGCTGCTGCTGCGCCTGGGCGGCGTGATGTCCGTGCGCCGATCCGCCGTGCACCTTACGTTTCCGGTTGATGCGCTTCTGCAGGGCGGCCGCTAAATTATTTCCGTTGACCAGTTCGCCGCCACTACTCGGCACAGGAGTTGCTCCCGCCGCCGTGGACGTAGCTGCTGCTGCGGCCGCTCCAGCTCCTCCTGCTGCAGTTCCACTGCCCGCACCAGACGCAGGATGTTGGGGAGACGTAGGCCTGGAAACGCTGCCAGCCAGGGAGTGATGGCGCTGCGGGGTCGTCACTCCTGTACTGGTGCCAGTCTGGGAGCCATCTCTCCGTGGGAACTGTACCTTCCGGGTATACAGATCCTCCTCGTTCACCCACTCATCCAGACGTTTGTTGACTGCGGGATTCCAGGACTTAGGATTAACCATACTTTGCAAGCATATCTTTACTTACAGTCCACGTAGTGCACATAGAACTGGCGCCGCCCGTCCAGCTCCTTGATGCTCACAATCTCGGCCAGCGGCCAGTCCTCCGTTTTGTGCATCCGTACGGGTAAGCGACAGCCCTCCGTTAGGGCGGCCTGGAATAGTAATAATTGTGGAATGTTTAGTCTTCCGGGAACACGCAGCTGCAAGGCACACCCACCGTCGACTCGCATATGGAGGCCGCATCGTCGTCGAATTCATATTTATGGTTAATTTTCATTTGTTTTGTTTATATTCTCGTTTATTGTAACAACTCGGGGACAAAACACAAGCAATCTAGTGATGGAACTATCCCGTAATGAAAGTTCTAGGAATATCGGTAGCACTGGCTAGGATATTATATCAAAAGTTAATTGTTATTTAAATATAAATTTTTATTTATTATGGTTGGTTGTAATTTTATATTTTTTACATTTCGTAATGAGATTTTTTAAAAAGTTGCGAAAATACAACACATTAATGTTAAGTACTTCTTCTTCTATTAAACTGTAAGTTTATTGTAAATTGTTAAAATTAGCTATATTCATAAATATTAGTAGGGTTCTGATATGTCTTTCTAGAAATAACTATTTTTAATAACTACTATTTGTTTGATACATCAGTATCGATAGTTGTATTCCATCCCTAGTGACATCAGAGGTTTAAAAATATCGATGACCAGTGCTGCGCAGCGTCGCCTGGCAAGTGCTGCAAAACACAACAACAATTCCAAAGAGTGTTCTGTTCGGTCGGAATTTTTTCATGTGCCCGTGCAATTAAACAAACCTTTTAATAATTCCCCATTGCACGCCCTCATACGCATGTATGTCGCGGGGATAATTAAGCATTTTCGATTATCGAACTGTTGCAGTCGTTGCGTGAATGTCAAAATTCAAGTTGTTCCTTGGTTCAAAACGTCGCCGAGAAGGTCAGAATCAGAAAAATGTACACAGTTTGTGTGCCAGTGTGTGTGTGTGTGTGTGTGCGTGTGTGACAACGATGTTGGGTTGAGGAGTGGGGAGGGGGGGAGGAGTGCGATTGTGTGAGTGCGCAGAAAGTTATACAGCTGGCGTATGTATCAGCGAAATCAGTAAATAACAACTGTGATAAACGGAAAAAGGCGGCTTAAACGCCTCCAAAAACACGCCCATCACCCGGCCCCAGTATCGAAACGCTGCAAGGGTAAAATAAATTTGAGAATAAGAAAAAAACTGTGTGGCAAAATGACGTGTTTTGCGCTAGTGTTGCCACTGACAACAGCCGCAGGGTTGGTTGTCACAGCTCTGCTTAAAATCCCCTCTAAACGTCGAAGAACCTGGTCCGGAATACCATTTTTAAGTGATAAAAGCTTCTGAACTTTATCTCGACTGGAATGGATGCATTTTTAAAGTACATAGTGACAAGCATTTAGCCTAATATCCTAATCATAGCCGCCAGTTGGCAACCCTAGGGCTCAAAGGCCTCGGCGCACTTGGCAACTCTGCGCGGCTTGTCAGCCAAAGGAGAAAAGAAAAAAAAAAAAGTTACAAAAAAAAAAAAAAATGAAAAGCAGAAAGCGCAGCTCTTTTGCGAAATGTGAAGCCACAGGCAAATATTCCAATCTAACCAACAGCTAGCTTCCCCATCCCGGCATGCCACTCCCCCTGCTGCTACCACAGCTGTCCGCATAACCGCAACAACAACAACAACAACAACAGGAATAACAAAACCAAAAAGAAGACCAAAATTTAATAAAATCGAACTTGTGATACCCTTTTTTTTTGGTTTTATTTAAAATATGTTTAAAAAAAACTCCAATAATGCTTCAGAGGTGTAGGATATAGTCTTTCGGTTTTGGTTTACTTCCCAAGATCGTTTTAATTGCGTTGTTATCAGAGTATTCCAATAGTCTCTATAAGATCTATCTGGTCATATGGAATTTCCATATTCCAAACCCTTCTCTAAACCCAATAGACCCTTAGGTCCTTTAAAAATGGCATCCTGCTGTGCAGCAGCATAGTTTGTACACATGTCCTAACTTGCCTTCCATTTCGACAGCCCCATGAGCAGGAGAGCCGTAGCTGTGACAGAAAAACGCATCAGTGACTACGCCGTGACTAGATATTCCGTGGTCCGGTAAGGAGCGTATTCCGGGTGCCAGTCCCCGTGCTCGCAGGTGCTTGCAGGACGCACTTAGATGCCACGGGCGGGTGGGCGAGGACGTGCCCAGGACTAAAGCTGTCACCAGCAGAAGGATCACAAACTGAGGCACAATAGAACGCCACAGCACGCCACCCCTCTAGTCCTCTAGTCCCATCTGCGCTACGCAGATACGTAAAAAAATAAAATAGAAAACCTCCAACGTATTTGGAATCGGAATCGGAAGCAGCAGCAGCAGCAGCAGCGACTGGCCAGTTTCCGCAGAGCAGTTGCAGGCACAGTGGCGTCCACACGGCGCCTTGGCAGCTGTGCTACCTGAGAACTTTGCGAGGAGTGGGTCGAGGACACCGGGCAGCAACAGTTTGTAAGTATATCGTATGGATCTAAGTGTAATCCGAGGGTAATCCGAGAAGCTCAATGACGGCTAAGCCCATTCATATGTTTTTATGGCAGGTTCGAGGAATTCGAATGGCATTTGGTTGTTTCGCTAGCCTGTTGCCGCGTTGCATGCCACACAAAAGATGAACAATGAACACACGCCGTCAGCATCGGACATATCGGCGGAGCGGATTGCGGCCACGGGCACAGGATCAGGAGCAGGAGCTGGAGCAGGTGCTGGACCAGGAACTGGAGCTGCAAAGCTGCCCATTCCGGACACGCCCATCGTCTCGATTGCATCTGGGACGATGAGCGAGAGCACCACCACAACCACCGCAACCAAGACGACGCCGACGCCATTCTCCCAGGAGCAGCTACTGACCATGATGTCTCACCATGTCGCTAAGGATACCGAAGCCGAAGCGAAGGAGGAGGCAGCTGCTGCTGCTGCCGGCAAGGAGGCCGAACAACCATCCAAGTCTACAAAGGACGTAATCCAAGGAGAAGCAGCACAAGCTCCAAAACCATCTCCAAATCATGTAGAATCCAATAGTAACAGCAATGGCAGTAGTGACCCCAAGAAGTCAACCTCCCCTAGTAATAGTCATAACGCTAATCACGCCACCAGCGATTCGGCGCCGTTCTCGCAGGTCTTCGCCCTGCTGGGGGAGACACCCGGCGCGGAGCTGACGCGGCCGGAGCTCAGGTGTCGTCAGTACGGGGCCACAGCCAAGGGCAAGACCCAGGATGACCAGAATGTCGGCAAGCGACAGAAGAAGAAAAAGGTAAGTCCAAAAAAAGGAACAAAAATTTAATTATTTTTAATATTTTTATTTTTTTAATTAAATAAATCAATAAATATAAGTTACCTAAGTTAATAATTTTGTATTTTATGTTAAAGTGCTATTGGGAGGGGTTTTAGTTTTAAGATTTAAGAGGTTATATCATTTATTTAATCATTACCTTAAAAAGGGAGCTTGGTTTTAAGTTTAAATATTTATAATCTAAGAAATGGATATTTTAATTGTAAACTAACTATAACTAAAAAAAAAGATTATTTAAGCTACAAAATAACCAAACTAATCCATCGGCAAAAAACTATCGCATCGCTAATCATTCCATAATCCATGCCGATTAGTGGGGACACAACCCATCCAGATTGGAATGACAAGCCGTTGGCGCAGTCGTGGAAATGTACCGTTAGGGTGCGCAGGCTACCATCCGCCGGCACACAGGCGCAGCCACACGTTCTTGTAACCCTTGGAAAGAGAGTTCAGTTCCAGTAAGGCGGCCCTAAGTGTGTTTTTCTTGTTTTTTTTTTTCGGTAAATTTTTTTAAAATAAATAAAATAATTACTATATCGGCGAAGCTGAGAAGCCAGAGCATAGCCATAAACCGCAAAAGTAGCTTTATCTAACAAACAGAGCGCATAAATGACGAAAAAAAACCGCACGGTTCCCGATTTAATTCCCCATTTCTTGGTGGGGTGAAGGGGGGAAGGGAGCATACATTTGTTTTTAATATTTTTATTTTTTTTATCACTAACATTTGAGTTTTTGGTGAGCAGTAGTTGGTGGCAGGGCATGTGTTTTTTTTTTTTTTTTTTGCAACACCCAGTTGCACCGCTACGCCCATTTTGAGGTTAGGTCACTTTTATTTGTTGGTGTGAGTGCCATTTTTGGCAGTGTGGCTGTGTGTGTATGAGTATTTGTTGTTGTTGTTGTTCTTGTTGGAATTTTAAAAGAAAACTTTTTTCAAAATTTTTCACAGACAAAAAACCATGCTTGGGAGGACAGTGATTTTAATGATCTCGACGACGCATCATTGAAGAAACTACTCGAAGAGGCCTACTGGTATCGCAATCCTGGCGACAGAAAGAACAAAAGTGAGCGTTTTCTGGTGAGTAGAGTACCCCCCTTACCAGACCCCCCTTCCGGTATCGGAATCGATCGAAGAAAGGGGGGCGTATCTCTCAAAAAAATGGGCTGATGAAGCAAATCGTGTAAACATTTCGGGAATAGAGAAGAGAGCTCTTTTTCAGAATCAGTTTAGAGTCCAGTATAGTCCAGACCAGACAGAGTTCTGAAGCTTATCTAATATCCAATTCTCTTCCTCAACAGCAAATGCTCAAAAAGGCTGAGTACGACGAGGAGATCTCTTATCGTGCCATCAAAACCTGCCTCACACTCAACCCATCGGCACTAGCGTCCGGCGTGCAAGCAGGCTCCAGTTCCGCCGGTGGCAACAATAACAGTGCTGGACACCATAACCACCACAATCTGTACCATCACCACAATAATCAACACTACAACCACCACGCCAGCATCAATCACCGGTCGGGGGATACACAGACAGGACAGGCAGGGCGGCACAAGCAGGGCGGCTCCCTGCAGGATCTCGTCGAGGCGGCGCACCGCAGCGAGCTGGCCACCACATCGGCGGCGGCGGCGGCAGCGGCAGCGGCGGCAACGGCAGCAACCCAACGTTTCAACTGTGATTACCAGCTAAGTGGCCGTTCCAATCGTCGCCTTCAAAACCAGAACCAGAATCAGCACAACCAAAACTCGACCACCACCAACACCTCATCCAGCAACAACAACAACAACAACAACGGTAGTAACAACACCTCCAAGAAGATCAAGAACTCGTCCGTTTCGGGACGACAGCGTGAAGGTGGTAGCCTGCCCAGCAACGTCAACAATATTGACGCCACGGCCATGGACTCGAAGCATTCGAAGCCGCAAGAGGTGGGCGGTGAGGCGGGTTCCTCGCAAGGATCGGCAGGGAAGCAACAGAGCAGCACTGGCAGCTGCTGTAGCTTGCCCAGCCAGCTGGGCGAGGTGGATACTTGTTCGCTGACAGCCCAGTTCCTGACGAACGAGGACGACAGCGGCAAGCCTGTGAAACGCGACCACCTGCTGGAAGTGAGTCAAGTGGCGAGTAGTTTCCCCATCCCCTACCCCTAATATACTAATGCCATTCTTTTTGCAGCACTTGGAGAAGCATGCTCCGCCGACGCCTCACTCGATGACCTTCATGGGCGCCAAGCTGCTGCGCGAGAGCATGGAGCAGGAACAGGCCGAGACTGCTGAGGCCAGTGGCTACAAGGAGGCCTCTGTCGAGGATCCGCTGCGCTTTGCCGTCCTGGAGAACACGCTGCAGCAGCAGGCCTACTATCTGGCCGCCCTGACGGGTCAGTTCGGGCTGGGCATAGAGCAGGAGCCGAAGCGCAAGGTGGAGGCGGGCTATGTCTCCCTCAACGACAACTACACGGCCTGTTCGTCGGTCTACGGCGGCGGTGCTGGATCGCTGCCTGCCCCCGAGTCCGGCAAGGCCTCCACTTCGTCCTCGGCCAATTCGGCCTCTCCCTCCGAGGCCGTGGGCGGCGGTGAGCTGCGTCCGGCGAAGATAGGTCGCATGGTTTCGGCTGCTGCCTCGGCGGCTGCAGCCTCTATGGGTGGCAAGGCCACCACGGTAAGTTTGGCTTCTCTACAAGAAACCAGAGACTGGATAGAAGTCTAAACATCTCTCTATTCCAGCGCCAGTTGGACGAGAACGGCAATGCGTTGGGTGAAGGATACGGCGGTAATAATGGCAACGGCAATGGTAACGGCAGCTCCTCCAATGGCAACGGTAATGGCAATGGCAATGGAAACCAGTTCACCGCTCTGATCACTACCACTGTGGGCGGCAGTGCCCCCACCTCGTCGGCCGTCCACCGGCAGATGCTGTCCACGGGCTCGAACACCACCACCACGGCCATGGCTGCAGCGGCAGTGGCCGCCTCCTACAGCCAGCTCCAGCAGGCACCGGGCAGCGGAACTGTATCAGTATCGGGCGCCGGATCGGGCCTCGCTCCGCCCAGCACCAAGCTGAAGGCCAAGAAGAAGTCGCAGCAGGACCGCAACACCAAGACCGTCGACGTGGAGTCGCAGGCCGGCTACCGGGGCAAGGATCCCGTCGAGCAGCTGGTCAAGTACATTGAGAACGACGGCAACGGCAGTGGCGGCAGCGCGGCCGCCCAGCAGAAGAAGAAGGAGCGCAAGAAGCAGAATAAGCTGAAGAAGAGCAACTCGCTGGAGGAGCTGCGTAGCTGCTCCAAGATGGAGGTGGACGACCTGAAGCGACAGTCGGCCACCACGGAGATGATGCGTCAAAAGAAGGGCTCGAACAACGGTGGCTCATCCGGTTCCACCGGCTCCGCTGGCTCCTCCGCCAGCGGCAAGCACAACTCGTCCTCCGTGGCCGACATCAGCAAGAACTGCAGCAAGGAGCAGCAGGCCCAGCCGGCGCCACAACCGGTCCAGGTCCAGGTCCGTTCCGGCAACTCGGGAACGCAACAGAGGAAGGGCGAACGCCGCTCCTGGGGCACCGAGGAGCTGCAGTACCTGGGCAATGACCAGGAGGTGGCTGCCACTTGGTCCGAGCCGGAGAGCCTCGGCCAGAAGCTGCCGCTCGCCCTCACACGCATGTCCGAGCTGGAGGCCCTCAATACCGTGCTCTCGGAGACGGCCGAGTTCCATGTGGTGACCAAGAAGAAGAAACCAAAGAAGCAGCGGGCAGTGACCATGGACGATGCTGCCGTGGCGGCCGCCGCCCACACCGGGGGCAATCTTCAGAGGATGCAGCAGATCACCAAGTCTGCCTCCTCCAACATGATGTCCCAGCGGATGCACTACTACACCCCCTACAACAACAACAACAACAGCAACAACAACAACAATGGAGCCGGAAATGTCGGAAACTATTACAAGCAACAACAACAACAACAACAGCAACAGTACCAGGAGCACCACCAGCCGGGCCAGCAGCACCACCATCACCATCATCATCACCACCACCATCACCACCACAGTGGATCCGCGGTGGCCAACCAGGTGGACAGCTCCCGCCGGAAGTCCACGTCCTCGATGCCGCCCTCCGAGAAGTCCGATTCCAGCGACCTGGACTCGGTCCACTCGCTGCCCATCCAAACGGGCAAGAAGAAGAGCCTGGGCGGCAGCGGTGGCGGCACCAACAAGCCGAAAGGCGGAGCTGGCGGAGGACAGGGCGGCTCCAAGCAGGGAAAGCAGAACAGCCCGTCACCGGCACCCATCTCGTATGCGGACATTGCCAGGAACAAGCAGGAGGCGATGAACAATGCCATTGCCAGCGACACCGAGCTGGAGCTGGGCAAGAGCAGCAAGTCCAAGACCCGGCCTGATTTCCCAGAACTGCCGGGACCCGCCTCGTCGGCGGTCAGCAGTGCCACCCAGTCGGCCGCCAATCCCGGCCAGACGTCGGCGCCGTCCTACTCCCAGAGCCTGAACGCCACGCCCGGCAGCAGCAGCAGCGATGCCGAGACCAGCTTCGCCTCCCCGGAGTTGCCCTCGCAGGCCCAGATCCCGGCGGAGATCGTCAACATTACCAGCGCCAGTGCCGGCAGCACCAATGGCGGAGCAGCATCGATGGTTAGCTCCGCGAGCTCAGGTTTCACCCCGTCACCGCCGGCGCTCCAGAAGTCCAAGAGCGTGGAGCACGACGCCAGCTACAGTTGCACCAGCAGCAACCTGGACCAGCAGTACCCGGCGCTGGAGAAGACCGTCAAGCGGCACAGCACCAACAACGTATCGCTGGCGGTGTCTGCCACGCCCACCACCTCCGCACACGCCTCGACTCCGGGCGGCTCCTCCTCGCTGTACAACTTTGCGGCTGCGGCCAAGCAGTCAGCCATTACTACCTCAGTTCTAGCCGCAGCCTCGTCTGCCTCGTCGTCCACGTCCACGTCCACGTCGTCGTCGTCCAACGCCTCGACCACATCCTCATCGTCATCGTCGTCGGCCTCCATCGCTGCCGCCGGCAAGCTCAAGAGCAAGCCCAAGGAGCTGTCGCCGAGCAGCAAGAAGTTGTCGCCGAAGCCTAGTCAGGATGAGACTCTGGGGGCCCCGAAGGCCACAACCAGCACAGCCACCAGCACGACTCAGAAGTCGACGGCTGCCACCCAGACGGAGGGAGCCAAGAAGCTGACGATGAAGCCCAGTGGCGGAGCCCTGGAATCCACCGCCGGACGACGGGCAGTGATCATCCTGAACGATGATCGCGACGCGTCGGGTCGGGGCAACAACGAGTTCATCTTCGGGGACTTTAACGAGGACGAGCTGAAGCTCTTCGACGACAACGAGGAGGAGGAGGAGGAGGAGGAGGACGACAAGGAGAAGGAGAAGGGCAAGGGTTCTTCCAACAAGCAGCAGCAGACGGAGACGCAAACCGAGCCAGAGGGAGAGTCCAACGAGACGGAGCTGGAGGCAGAGGACGATCCGGAGGAGGAGGAGGATCGGCAGCCGCGGGCCGAGAAACGAAGGCCCAACGACCGGGAGCAGGAGCAGCTGAACGACTCGGGCACTGCCTCGGATGTGGTCAACAGCTCCGCCAGCCTGGACATGCTGTCGATCTCCGCGGAGGCCGCCCAGTCGTCGCCCAATGCGGCGGCCACCGCCTCCTCCTCGAGCGCCGTCAGCCTCATTAACTCGTCCACGCCCTCGGCCAGCGCTTCCAATTCGTCGTCATCCGTTTCCATATCTTCCACCGCTTCCGGCTCGGCGTCCTCGGCCTCCTCGTCCTCCGGCAATGTGGGCGCCTGCCTGGCCTCCGTGTCCGGCATGCTGGCCAACCAGTCGGGCGACAGCGGCATCTACGCCGCCGCCAACACGTCCGTGAAGGAGCACGTCAACCACTTCCTGAGCAAGGCCAGCAGCAGCGAGGAGATGCTGCCCTCCAACGTGGCCATCTCCATGCAGCAGCTGGAGACGTGCAACGACATCGAGGCGGCCATCATTGCCGCCGCCCGGGCTGCCGCCGCCGCCAGGAGCACCAGCTGCAGCAGAAGCAACTCGCAGGAGTCCAAGCAGCAGCATCAGCACCACCACCATCATTACCACCACCAGGAGCGAATCAAGAATCCCAGTGGCAAGGCCGGCACCGCCATGCCCGTGTACATGGCCTACAACCACGGCGACGAGGAGGAGGATGAGGAGTGCCTCCAGGAATTGAGTTTCATGGCCGACCTGAGGAGCGACGCTGCCACGCCCACGCCCCCGGAGGGAGTCACTCTGCTGCCGGCGCAGGCCGTCTCCACGCGACCGGCGATGATGACCAACACGGAGCTGATAGTGGATTACATAGCCAACAGTGAGTAGCCCTGTTTGTCCTTTTTGGAGCGAGGATGCACTAAATACTTGACCTTTTATCTCTGCAGCTTGGAATGCCATTGCCAACAGCAAGTATGTGACCTACTACAACGAGCAGGAGCAAGAGACTTAGGCAGGATCGGGATCTTACCAGGATGATGGCTAAGATCGGTGAAGGAGAAGAAGAAGAAGCAGCTGCAGCAACGCCATCTATCGCAGATGTTATGTGTTTGGATTGCATGTCTGAATCGCGTTGTCTATTATTACTATTATTATTACTATTATTATTATTAATATTATTGCTATTTTTTTTTTTGTAATTGTTGTGCTGGGCCATCGTTTACACACACATATATATATATATACCGATTATGCGCATACATTATGAATAATTGCTATAACGATGATACGCTTTTATGCTAATTAAAGTAACGGTAAACAATTACGATAACGATAACGATTATGAGGAGCCTATTGGATGGCAAAAGAACGTTAATATGTAGATCTATCACAGTAATACCCCCCCTTTAGTGTGAGCTTGTGTGTGTGCATGCCATGTGTGTGTGAGTGAGAGTGTAAGTGTGTGTGTGTGCGTGTCTAGGATCATAGGGATATATCCATGCATAGGTCTAGGAACTATATAGAGAGAGACAGTCAGGATAGCCAGTTCTCCCAGCTGTGAATAATAGGGAAGAATATAACGGTCGAGCAGAGCCGAGTTATCGGATATCATCCGTATATATATATATTTATTTAAAAAAAGAAAGAGAAAGAAAAGGTAAAAGAAAGAGAAAGATAATGGAATCAAGCATTTGGGATCTGCTTTTGTTATTTTAAAACACACAACCTTCAGGCTCCTTGAAACGCAACGTTTTACCATAAACTACAACTATTACTATTAACTATTACTCAATTATGATTACTATTGCCTATTATTATTATTATTATTCTAATTATTATTGTAAATCATATAAAGATCTAATTTTTTTTTTTGCCTTTGTTTTATGAAAAGAAAGAAAATAATAATCGCGCGCGCGAAAGCTAAATATTAAAAAAAAAAATGAAACTAAAAACTAAAAACTAATCTAAAGTCTTAGTTGATAGACCGAGTCGCGTGTAAATATTTAAAAAACAAAAAAATTAGAAGGGAAATCTTTGATATTTCGATTGCATTGATAAATATTAAAAAAAAATTATATATATATATATTTAAGAGTAAGTGGAGATGGCGAGGGTGTATGATAAAGTATCTTTAGCTCCGGCTAGCCATAAAGAAAGCCTCACGAGGACCGAGTATGTTAAAAAAAAATAATAATCGCAAGAAGAAGAAAACCAGATTCTAAAAAAAAAAAACTATTATGCACTTACGAAAAATGCCGCCGTTTAGCAGGTAGAGCCTCAGAAGGTCTCTGCAACAACAACAAAAAAAAAACGAGTTTAAAATTAAACACTTAACATACATTAATATTAATAATTTAAAAACCAGAAGGAGAAAGAAAATAAGCGTTAAGTGAACTCGTAGCATAAAAAGCGCCACTAAAAATCGCTATACTTCTAGGTACATACAATATATGTAGTATATATAAACGCGTATATATATATATATTATATATTTAAATATTACATATATATATTTTTTTTTTGATAATGCAACGTTAACCGTTTAAAATCGATTAATTCTAAGATGGAAACAATGTCAGAAAACCTAAAGCCGTTAAGCAGATAGAGAGAGACAGAGAGAGAGAGAGAGAGATCTTCTATTTAAAGCTAAAATCTAAAAACTAATCTGAAAAATGCCTAAGCCTAAGACCCAGAACTAAAAAAAAAATAAATACATATATGTTTTCAATTCAAGTTTAATATACCGCTCTCCCTTTCTCCTTTACAAAATATATACATATATTCTTCAAGTTTGTTGTCGTCTGTCCCTTTCTTAATCATGTCCTGTCATGTCAATGATCCGTTATGAAAAAAAACCACGTTGAAACAGAATCAAAATAAAGCCACAGAGAGAATAAATTTTTAACTAAGTTGCAGGGAGGATATATATATATACATATATATTAATAAATATATATATTTATTTGTACCACGCCTATTAAGGAGAATCTAAGCGCATTACATACATATATAGAAGAACTAAGTCAAGAACTAAGCCAATGTACACTGCAACAACTTTTAGACAATTGAAAAAACAAAAAATAACTGTAGCAACAACAACAACAAAAAACGCGATAAAAAAAAAAAATTTGAATTTAAATTGTACGCTAGTAACGTAACTAAAAACTAACACTAAAATATTAAAAAAAAAAAAAAGAATTAGTTGTATACCGAAAAAAAAAAACAAGAAAAAGCAAAAAAACAATGTTTCTTATGTGTGTGTATTTATGTAAAATATATATATTGTAGTTGTGTGTATGTGTATATAAAATAGAAAAATGTGACTCTTTAAAAAAACCAAAAAAAAAAAAGGAACAAAAAAAAATTACAGAGTAAGAGGATCAGATTGGACAGGCACATTAAATCAGGAATTATTGTTTTTTTTTTTTTTAAATCCTCTCCCAAACTAAATAGTAAGGATCGTTTTTGTTTTTTTTTAATAATATCCTCGAGCTTGGTGTTTGGAGTTTGTAGGCCGGAAAACCAAACCAAACCAAAACTAGAATTGTTTTAGTTCCGAAACCCAGAGAATAGCCTTTGATTTTGCGTAGCTAGCGTATTTTTATCGAGAAACAATTATCGAATTATCGAAATAATCTAATCGGACAACAATCGGTTCAACTGGCATTATTTTCGTAATTAGTGCACTTGTTGAGTTTGGAATACAAGATGATAATTAATTAATGAGAGAAAAAAAAAACAATAAATAGTCGAGAGATCACGGCGGGAACTATAATCATAGATATATATACACACATACATATGTACTCCTCGACTACATACATACTACTTCTACCGACGAAGCAGAAAACTCAGACCCTCCCCCTTGGCCCAGATCCAAGCCCAGAGACCAACCTGAGGTCCTACTTTTCATCCTTGTCACCCCCCAATCCCCCCCTTAAACATAACTTATACATACCAATATTTGTACATGCGAATGAAAAAAAAAAATGGAAAAAATCGAAAAAAATTAGTAAGCGAAAGGCATTAGAATTTAAAAGGCGGTACAGTCCCCACAAAACAAAAAAAAAAGAAAAGGAAGGTCCGATTACCGCGATTACCCGTATCGATCAACTATCGATAACAGCAACCTATTTCAAAGGGAAATCGAAATTTAATTTAAAAAATGTGTTTAAAATATAATATACTGGAGAGAAGTGTATTTCTGTCGAGAATCGAAATAAAAATTAACAAAAAAAATGAGCAAGAGTTTAAATTATTTTAAAATATTGGGGGTTTGTATAAAATCCAGTGGAACTATAATCCAGTAGTATCACCTCTTTTAAATATTTCAATTTTTAACAAATCATGGGGAGGGTTTTGTGATTTTTTTAATTTTAAATTCATTAAATAAACACTGTTATTATTAATGACATATATCAGGAACCATTTAATACCACTTCGTACCACTACAAATTGGGAATTTGAATATAAGTAAAGCTTCTATTAATGAAAGAAACCAATTTTTCTATGGAAGATTTTTACTATTAGTTATACTTTATAGATTATATGGTATTATTCCTGGATCCTTGTACCAAAGATGGAATCTGTAGAAAGTTAGATCCTTCTACCTTCAAAAACTCCAAAGTTATGGGACCTCAGATCTTTTAATTATATAACAGATGTAAGATATTTTATAGCTTTTGTTTTTGCTCAAATTAGAAGATCATATCATATTTTAATTTTGGATTAAAGGAAAAGTTCAAAATCATTTGTTATTAGTTGAATTTGTTATAATTATTTAAGCTTTTTTAATTAATTATGAATTTTGATTATAATGTTTGGAAAGAGTCATAGCCATATACAAAAATGATTGTATATGGTTGTATAGATTGATTTTCTGAATCAAGTTTTGAAAGAGATTTGTTTTTAACATGGGTCTTGTCCCAATGTGTAATCCTTAAAGCAAATCTTTGCGGAAATTGCTATTTTAATTGAAAAATCAAAGCCTAAAGCTTTAGGATCAAGTATCTTTTGATATAAAATATCTTCATATTTAGTTTTTCTCATTTTTAGTGGTACGGAAGGCTGTTAGTAAACAAATCATTGTACTTAATAGTTCCTGTATATGTGGTCTAAGGAGATATGCAGTCAAATATCAAAAATATGTGATAAATCGCACAAAATTATGAAGTGAGTATTATTTATGAGCAAAAAAAAAGTTAATTAAAAATAATTTATGATGATTATTCATGATATTTATCTTTTCAATCAAAGAATAATCATTATTTTCTGATTTTTAATATAAAACTCGTCATGATTACGGTCCCTGGTCATTAGTCTTTAGATATTTGAAGTATCTAATATTTTATTTTGTCAGAGTCCATGTGGAAAGATAAGTATTCTAGTGGTATCACTCTTTGGAAGGGATTTTGTGTTCTTTAACTAAAAAGTGACTATAAAAATTGACGTAAATAGCTGCCATAAATTTTAATCGACATTAGACTCTGTCCAAAGAAGAACCAAACCTTTAAATAAGACAAAGTCAGAAGAAAAGTCATTAGAACCGTCATCGATACCCTTTTTTTAATTAATTTGATAATTATAATATTACTGTGTAATTGTCCACCAATCGGCCTATAAGGATTTTTATTCCCTCAAACATAGAACTTCGAATGAACCTTCTTCGCATAGTATAGTATAACTATTTTTTGAAGATAAAACTTTCAGACTTTCTGCAGATATCATTTTTGATCAACTAACACGTTCTATAAAATTTCATAAGGATCGGTGGAATATATAAGAGTGTTATATATATAACATGCATGACATATCGGATGAGCCCCGAGGAGATATAAGGCCTTATAGCTTTGGTAACTTCGAAGTTAGATAGGAGGAAGGAAGGTAGAACTTTTTAGATTTAGAAGGTAATTTTAGAAGGATCTTACAGCTATATCTTATCTTATCTTACATCTGTCCTATAATTGAAAGATCTGAGATCTCATAATTTTGGATTTTTTTAAGGTAGAGGGTCTTTCTACAGATTCCATCTTTGGTACAACATTTTATAAGGATCAAGCACCAATACTATATAATATATATATAATATTCTATAACATAATATAAAGTATAAATAATAATATATCTAATGGTAATATACCATACTATTACATCTATGGTATGCTAACTTATGGTTATAATAGTAATATTTAAAATATATCTTACTAGGAACTGTTTAATAATAAATTTAATATTTTATTTCGAATCTCATTTCAGAAAATGGCCTGATAATCAAGTTCTTATAAAGATCATTTTTAATATACTTCTTATAATAGAAATTACCATTAACCTTCTCGGTTATCTATTACTACATATGTATATAAGTAATTAAAAAAGTAAATGTAATTATAATAGTTATTAATATTAGTAATTAGATTCGACTAGTTTCTTATATTTTTTATTTTGACACAAAATACCAACGTTGGAATTTCATTTTACATTATAATCTAAATTTATTTCAAAATGTAACTGGCTGGCAAGAATCGTATGTATATTCGTGGGTAAATTAAATGATAAGGTCATAAACAAATAAACAGCAAAGGCACTGCTCCAGAGTCCTGTTCCCGGCCTCCGGTAGCTTCACGTTTGAGGTGGCTTGACAGGATCTAGGAGAGATTGGCCGCCTGGTAGGCAGCCAGGGCCATCTGCTTGCGGCGCCTGTTGAGACGGATGAGGGCGTCCACGACCATGTCGACGGCCATGTTGCGATCGCCACAGATGAACATGTTGTCCAGGTGATCGCAGAAGGACTCGAAGCGACGCCTCTCGCGCTCCTTGATGGGCATCATGGCGACGGCCTCGTCCTCGTAGTAATCGGCATCGAACTCGAACTGCTGCTCCCGGAAGATGGTGAGCGGATCGATCTCATTGCTCAGCACCTTCACCAGTTGGTTGAGCAGCTGGAACTTGTATGTCTTCAGCGGACGCATCGGCCGGGAGCGGCTATGGGGAACCCGGGAGCGGCTCTGGCGCTGGCTACGACGCTTCTCCTCCTCCCGCTCCCGCTGCATCGACATCTCGTGGTGGTGGCGATAGTCGTCGATCAGGCTCTTGCGGGTCAGGCCCACGGTAGCCAGGTCGTCGTCCGAGAGGCGATGGAGATTGTACAGCCGCTCCAGAGTCTCGTCTTTGAGACGGCAGATTCCGGAAAACTTTAGCTTGCGCGATGTGGCCTTCTCCTCGGGGGTCTCTTCTGGAGGCGGAGTATCCTCCATCAGCTCATCGTCGTTCTCATCCAGCAAGTCCTTCACCTGCTCCTCGTGACTCTTCTTGGCCTTCTTCTTAGGAATCACATCCAAAAGGGGTTCTATCATCTCTGACGGGAAGAGGGGACGTGTAACCGGAAGTGGATTAGGCATGGGGAATGTGTCGTTAAAGCGATTTATAGGCCCAGGGTGATCCTCTGGCGACGAAGACAGGTACTCTTCTCCTGCGTCAAAATGGGCAGCACCGTTGGGTGGATTGGAGGGAGAAACCGATTGGGGCGTCACGACGTAACCATCGTGATCGAACTCCACTAATGGGCTAAACACTGAGAATGGATTGTGTAGAGATGGACCACGCCATGGTATGGGCGATTCCGGACGAATGATCGAAGCTGGCGAAAGAAAGCCCTCCGGCAGAACGAACGCTTCCGGTGGCACAAACGCTCCTTGCGGTACAAACGGCTCCGGCTGACCAAAGGGTGATATATTAATAAATGCTCCTGGCGGTATGAACGGCTCCGGAGGGAGCAGCGGTTGCGGAGCAACAAACGGTTGTGCAACACCAAGCGGTTCCAATCCGAAAATCTGCGGTGGCAGTAGGGGTTCTATGAACAGAATTGGAACTAATGGCTCCGCGACAATTGGAGCTTCCATGGGGACCGGAAGTGGCTGTTCGGGAACTAGTACTTCCTCTGTATCCATAATATCAGCAACGTGTAGACTTTCTTCCGACATAGCGTCATTAGATGAAGAAATAGAATCCATTGTATTTGAATCTTCAAAAATATCGTTGGTATTATTGGTGTTTGTGGTTATGTTTTGTAGGGCTACTGCAGCGCCAAAAAGATTTGTTGGATCCAGATCGTTTGGGTTAGAGGAATCTGTAGACAAACCTTCAGTTTCTGGTGCTAGATCCACATCCATCATCATGTTTTCAGCAGTTGGGGGACCTCCTGCAGGAGCAGCACCATCATCGGTGTGTGTATCATTGTTGGAAGCGGCATTTGCCATTGCAGCTTCGACTGGATGAGTTGGGGATTCTGTGCCAACTAGTTCTTTATTTAATGGTTCACTCGAACAGGATTTACCGCCGGGATCGTTCATTTCAATGTTATGAATTTACTGGCTAGGAATTTTTGGTGAACGTGTTTGTAGGCCAGATGTGTGTATTCTCGAATTTGGTGACAATGTGATCAGAACGAGCACCGATTCAGCTAAACTGTATTTCAAACGCTACTTTGTCGGAGAATTTCAATACAATGGCAGGAAATCTGAAAGTTCTACTACAGAGTCTACTTCGCAATACTTTTTGTATTGTTATGACTTTTTCTGGCGACTTTCTTCGAAAGGAAGTTTCTTGGAACTTCAAATCAGGCATTTTTTGTAAACATTTGGATTGGTTTAGAAAATTGATTTAAAATGAAGAAATAATGTGTTTTAAAATAATTCCCGTTTATATATCTCATAAAAATAGTAAATATCTTTGTTTTTTAGGTTAGGGTCTTGTATTTAATAATTTAAATACTGTTATCGATAATTATCCAAAAAGCATTTTGCCGCCAACAAAAAAAAGAGTGGCAGCGCCAAACGCCATGGCAAAGCTTTCTTCAGCATACCCAAGCTGGTCACACTGCAAAAGCACTGATTCACTTGGTTTGTTTGTTTTAGCTGCGATATCTTGATATGGTCTTGGTATATTAGAAGATCCAACAGGTGATCAAGATGTCAGAGGTGCGCATTAGACCGCGCCAGGTGCTGGTGCTGATCATAGTGTTCCTGGTGGTGCTGATGATGGTCCACCGGAACGGGAAGCGCACCTGCCAGGGTCCGGACTACCTGCAGGCCATGTACGCACAACAGCAGGCGGACACGTTGCCTACGATTTACGCCATAACGCCAACCTATTACCGTCCCGCCCAGAAAGCGGAGCTAACAAGGTGACTGATCCATTGCCACACCATGTGGATGGAAAGTAATCGCTTTCTTTTCAGGTTATCCCACTTGTTTATGCTGCTGCCGCACCTGCACTGGATCATTGTGGAGGACTCCAATACCACAACGTCACTGGTAAAAAATCTATTGCAGCGCGCTGGGCTGGAGAAGCGATCCACGCAGCTGAACATCAAGACGCCGCCGGAATTCAAGCTGCAGGGCAAGGATCCCAATTGGATCAAGCCCCGGGGTGTGGAGCAGCGCAATCTGGCGCTCTCCTGGCTGCGCAGCCACGTCGACGTGGACCGGCACTCCATAGTGTTCTTCATGGACGACGACAACTCCTACTCCACGGAACTGTTTGCCGAGATGAGCAAGATCCAGCGCGGCCGTGTCGGGGTTTGGCCCGTGGGCTTGGTCGGCGGTTTGATGGTGGAGAAGCCTATCCTCAACGAGGATGGCACCAAAGTGACGGGCTTTAACGCCGCCTGGCGACCCGAGCGTCCCTTCCCCATCGACATGGCCGCCTTTGCCATCAGCATGGACCTGTTCATTAGGAATCCCCAGGCTATCTTCTCGTACGAGGTGCAGCGAGGTTACCAGGAGAGCGAGATCCTGCGGCACCTCACCACACGAGATCAGCTTCAGCCCTTGGCCAATGCTTGCCGGGATGTGCTCGTCTGGCACACCCGCACCGAGAAGACCAAACTAACCGCCGAGGCGGCCCTGCAGAAGCAGAACAAACACTCGGACGCCGGCATGGAGGTGTAACCGGGAGACCGCCTCGATCCCCGCTAGCTGTACATAAGTAGCCAACTTCTCAGTCCTCCTCGCCAGCCCTCCTAAGAACGTAGTGAATTTACTTAATGTGTTCGTCTGCGCACTATTCTGGAGTGTCGATCGATCCAATCCGCCAGAGAATTTAGCAACTTTAAAGCAAAGAGTGCAATAACTATATATCCTAAGTAAAAATATCCTATTCTTACACTTAATTTCATGCGAGTTGTTTGGTTGCCTGGCTGTAATATCCAAAAAGACGCTCCCACTCTCCTATAATGTATTAGCAAGTTTCCTCATCTTTATTTTATTAGCTGTACGATGCTCAAATCAAAGTTGTAACATATCTGTGTAAAGTATTTAAGAACGTTAGGGAGGATTCTTTTGAAGCGATAATGTCACCCCAAATAAGTTAGCTTAATGTACCTCATTTCAAATGTTTATCATTTAAAAGAAACGTATTGTTTTTAAAGCTTTTATTGATCTTGTTGAAATACTCGAAACATAATGTCTAGTTTCTGTAGAGCTTGCATAGTTCTTTCCTCCAACTATAAGCTTCCCAATTGTGCCTCCTGTTCTAAGCAAATAAAACGAATTTCCGTTTAAAATTAAAACTTGTGGAGTGGTTATTTTAAAGTTTTTGTAATTTTACTTTTTAGAAGCTCATATTAAGGACACGACTTGGATTTAAAGAGCCTTAAAAACGCCTTTATCTTTCCTCAAAAATAGATATTAATTATAAACTTTCTTACTTTATCGAATCCCATCGGCGTAAAACCCCAAAACCCCTATAGACTAGGAATAGACTATAATAGTGTTTTATCAAATATTTTTTTCAATTTTTCCAATTTTTTCCAAGGAGTTCCCCAACAATATTGTGGGTTTTCCCGATTTCCACACTTTTGCTCCTTCCGATGGCCATAGCTCTGCCAATTTGTATCCGATCAGGAAACAAAGTACCATTTAGTAATCAGTAATAATTCAAAACATTGCTTTAATGTCGTTTTTCAATTTTTCGAATTTTTTCGAATTTTTTTTGCACGGGGACGTGCAGAAGTCAGTACTAGTACTCCGCGGAAAAGCTACATTTTCCGAAAGGTTATCTGCAGTCGGTGCTACACTCCTAATTACCATCACCGGTCTTCAAGCAAAGTCCCAGCACAGGGAGGCCATCCTAGCCCAGTTGTTCCTTTCATTCCTTGAATCGAACCAGAAGTGGACAAGGAGAAGTTAAGGTAAGAAATCTTGTCTCTACCTTAGTAATTTTTAACATTAGTTTGTTTTTAGGAGGAGTTTGTTCGTATATACAGACCTCTTGGCAATAATGTCTTCACCTTCATACCGTCTGAGTGAGATGGGAGGGTATCGTCCTTGATTCCTCCACAAAATTGCAGGAAGCCCCTGAATCCCATTTTCTTATAAGGGATACAGATAGAGCATCATGAGTTGGAGTAGTCTTCTTTAATCTGTGCAAGGAACTTTTCAATGTAAACATGTATTCAACATTACTCATAAATTATGGTTTGAAAAAAATAAAACTAAACAGGAATAGGAAATCAACAATTTTAAAGTTTTTCTCTTTAATATTTTTTCTGTAAAACAAACAGAAAGACATGGCATAATCGGCACTGGAGATGATTCTGATCAAGATTAGAGATACTTTATGGAGTCTTATAAACCAGTAGAAGATACTAACAATTAATTTCACAGAGACTTGCACAGAGGCTGTTGGCCAAGCCAAGAGCAGAGCCAGAAAATGGCCAAAAACTCAAACTTTTGATATTTTTTTTGCTTATAATCCCAATCCCGAAACTTAGCACCTGCATTCAAGTATTTTTGATACAAAGTAAACTAATTTTAAAGCAATTTAAACAAAAATTCAGAAAAATTCAACAAATGCGGAAGCAGCAGATGCATTTGTTCAAAATCCTTGGAACGGTCTTCCTCCCCAATTGGGCAGTATTGGGAACGGATTTTCGCACCTAGCGTGTAAGGACGAGAGTGTAGGTTCTTCTCATGAAAGTCAGGCACTATAGCCGAAGTGACGGAATGGCCTCTTGGAAGAATATGGAATATATTCGGATGGCCTCTTTCCAAGTCGAAGCTACCAGCATCTCATCTTCAAAGGGAGAAAGCGGGCTTGAGGGTAGAACCAATCTCAACAAGCTTATCTCTTCCTTAGACTCCGAAAGCTGGGCAGACTCTACAACATTCTTCACTGCGTTGCACACTTTTCACCAAAATTGTAATACCCTCTGCAAGGGTATAAACAGCTTATAGATAAAAGGTAATAGTTGTTGGTACTAAGAAAGTAACTTGTTTGACCTTTATTCACCGTATTGTTTATTAATTGCTTATATAATTAATTAACAATTGCAATTTAAGCTGGCGATGATTCGCTTTCGTAGAATGTGGAGGCTGAATGACGAGTTCTGCAACTGACCTTCTGATAAAAGGGAGCATCATGTTCAAGCCATTTCACGTACTCGGCGCAGCTATGCATTAGACTCTGGATGTTCGGAATAAATTGGACTCGCAGAGAAGCCATGTCAGACAACAATACAGTTTTCGCCTAAAATAAAGATAGATAGAGATATAACAGATTTGAAAAGTATGAGTATGAGTTTTGGGAGAAAAACGTACACTATTGGAGCCTGCAATTACTCTTTGGAGATTCTGAAGATAGCTTTTTTCCAGCTCCAGGTTACTCTCCATTTCTTCCACAATTTCGGTGGCATTCTCAATCTTTTGCGTCAGGACCGTGAAGAAATGATCAATAAGCTCTATTTGTCCGTAGGTTTTCTTTTGATTCCATTGAACTTTTGAGGCGGTACCAAACGAGGCAAAGGCGGCTGGGAAACCCAGTGAAAGACCAATCGGTCCAAAAACCAGGTCACCGATCGCATCAAACCAGACGAAAAATCTCAATCTGTTGTTTCTCTTCTGCAGATCCACCTTTTCTTCGCTATAGAAGCCCCCTGGGCCGAAATCATCGTGGACATCATGCGAAATATCTCGAAACGCATTTTCAAGCTCTTTAATACTGTTTCGGAAATAGGTGAGGAATTCCAAAGATTTTCCGGTTTTTTCGAGGCCCGATTCCAGAGCAGACACTGTCTGAATCCAGATTATATTCTTATTAGTTATCGACACGTTGCTGTTGCGAAAGATTCGGATGAATGGATCGAAACTTCTGTTGATGGATTGGCACCAATCGAAGACTGGATCCACACATTGCTTGTAGCTGAGACGGGCTTCGAGTTCAACGAGCGAATCCGAGGCATCTTGACCTCGGCTCTGCCCTTGTATCCCAGCATGACTTTATCAATCTCATCGATGACCTCCTGCAGCTGCGCGAACTTCACCTTGTCGAACTCGGCTTGATATTTCACCTGGACTTTCCACAAACTGTCTATGCCATTTCTAATATCAATAAGCTCGGTGTCATCGCACCTGGCAAAGAAAGGACAAAAGGCACAAAATGCAAGTGCCGTTGCCAAAACGACGGCAGAAGGATCCTTTCCCATGATTGATCAAGAAGGATTAATCCACTGTCGAGGAGCTGACTGGTGCCTTCCTGACGAGAGAAGATCTACTATTGTCTTCGAAATGTACGATTTTCGGTGTTATATATACCCAAAAAGGTTATAGAACAAAAGAACACTAAGCCCAAATTCGATTTCTGGGAACTGTTAATTATTCATAAATCAGATTAAGATTTCGCGGAAATTAATAAATTAATTCAATATTCAATGTAGACAGTCTCCTTATCTCTTAACAGAGAGGGAAGGTGGGCTCAGTTTGAAACTTTTTTGGGAATTTTGACACAATAAATCAAAGTATTAACTGATAGTGATATTTTCTGGACACAGATACATATTTATTAAACATTAATTAACATTAAAATCCATGATTGCAGTATTTATATTTCAGATTTAGTATTCACATTCCAAAAGCGACTTTCCTCATTTAACACATTGCTTTAATATCGTTTTTCAATTTTTCGAATTTTTTCCAAGGAGTTCCCTTAGAATATTGTGTGTTTTCCCGATTTCCACACTTTTGCTCCTTCCGATGGCCATAGCTCTGCCAATTTGTATCCGATCAGGAAACAAAGTACCATTTAGTAATCAGCAAACCCAAAAGCGACTTTCCTCATTCAAAACATTGCTTTAATGTCGTTTTTCAATTTTTCGAATTTTTTCCAAGGAGTTCCCCTAGAATATTGTGGGTTTCCCGATTTCCACACTTTTGCTCCTTCCGATGGCCATAGCTCTGCCAATTTGTATCCGATCAGAAAACAAAGTACCATTTAGTAATCAGCAAACCCAAAAGCGACTTTCCTTATTCAAAACATTGCTTAATTATCGTTTTTCAATTTTTCGAATTTTTTCCAAGGAGTTCCCCTAGAATATTGTGGGTTTCCCGATTTCCACACTTTTGCTCCTTCCGATGGCCATAGCTCTGCCAATTTGTATCCGATCAGGAAACAAAGTACCATTTAGTAATCAGCAAACCCAAAAGCGACTTTCCTTATTCAAAACATTGCTTTAATGTCGTTTTTCAATTTTTCGAATTTTTTCCAAGGAGTTCACCTAGAATATTGTGGGTTTCCCGATTTCCACACTTTTGCTCCTTCCGATGGCCATAGCTCTGCCAATTTGTATCCGATCAGGAAACAAAGTACCATTTAGTAATCAGCAAACCCAAAAGCGACTTTCCTCATTCAAAACATTGCTTTAATGTCGTTTTTCAATTTTTCGATTTTTTCCAAGGAGTTTTCCTAGAATATTGTGGGTTTTCCCGATTTCCACACTTTTGCTCCTTCCGATGGCCATAGCTCTGCCAATTTGTATCCGATCAGGAAACAAAGTACCATTTAGTAATCAGCAAACCCAAAAGCGACTTTCCTCATTCAAAACATTGCTTTAATGTCGTTTTTCAATTTTTCGAATTTTTTCCAAGGAGTTCCCCTAGAATATTGTGGGTTTCCCGATTTCCACACTTTTGCTCCTTCCGATGGCCATAGCTCTGCCAATTTGTATCCGATCAGGAAACAAAGTACCATTTAGGTAATCAGCAAACCCAAAAGCGACTTTCCTCATTCAAAACATTGTTTTAATGTCGTTTTTCAATTTTTCGATTTTTTCCAAGGAGTTTTCCTAGAATATTGTGGGTTTTCCCGATTTCCACACTTTTGCTCCTTCCGATGGCCATAGCTCTGCCAATTTGTATCCGATCAGGAAACAAAGTACCATATAGTAATGAGCAAACCAAATAGCGTCTTTCCTCATTCAAAACATTGCTTTAATGTCGTTTTTCAATTTTTCGATTTTTTCCAAGGAGTTTCCCTACAACATTGTGGGTTTTCCCGATTTCCACACTTTTGCTCCTTCCGATGGCCATAGCTCTGCCAATTTGTATCCGATCAGGAAACAAAGTACCATATAGTAATGAGCAAACCAAATAGCGTCTTTCCTCATTCAAAACATTGCTTTAATGTCGTTTTTCAATTTTTCGATTTTTTCCAAGGAGTTTCCCTACAACATTGTGGGTTTTCCCGATTTCCACACTTTTGCTCCTTCCGATGGCCATAGCTCTGCCAATTTGTATC